TTAGATGAATCTTTGTTTGTTCCAAACAGCCTACTACATAATAAACAATTTTCAGTAGAGAAAACCTCACTCCTCGGACAACAGGCTTTTTTTTTTACAAATAAGTATACCCAAGGAGTCCAGAAAACCACCATTTCCAGTATTGAATCCTTATTAATGACCTCGCTGATGTCGGGCATAGTGCTCAGTCCAGGGGACCCGTGGTTCTTTAAAATCTTCCTATCACTTAAGGACAGGCAATAAATAGAGAAATAAAGTACACTTTACTGTAAGTGGTTGGAGAGAAATAAGCAGCGAGCTGTACAGGAAATAACGGGAAGACCTATTTTAGATAAAATCTTTCTCAAGTGCTGACATTTAAAAATACTGATCTCTAGAGGATAAGAATGTGCCCGCCCTCCCAAGGGAAAGAACAGCAGCAAAGGCAAGGCCCTGAGGTAGGAACGAGCTGACCGAGCCACTGGGACGGCGCGTCTTGAGCAAATGGGGAGGAGAAGAGAAGGCTGGATGCAGAGATGGGACCTAGAAAAGCAGAGTGTCCACAGCCAGGGCGAGGAGTTGGCTTTGTCTGGACACACTACTCCTCGGTTTATGTTTATACGGGACCCCTCTGGCAGCGTGGGAATCCGTTAGGCTGCCATTATGGTCGTCCAGGCATGAGTAAATGGTTTTGTGGTCTGAAGTGTGGAGAAGTGGATGGACATGAGATACAGGCGTCAAAGTACATTCCCAGGCTCATTTTACAGATGGAAAAGTAGGCTGTGATAGTCAGCAGTTTCCGTAGCTCTGACGTAGTAGCTGATAGGCTGCAGCCCCAGATCTGATCGTTTTCAAAGTCCATGTATTTTCTTGCTGTCCTAGACCTTTTCTTTGAGTTGACCACTTCCTTTTAGTGCTTTAATATGTATATCCGTTTTTATTATACATACAAGTGTATTTTTTCTCTATCTTAGACTTTTTATGTTTATGAAAAAGCCTTAGAAGTTAATCACTTTCTCAGTGAAGGAATTTCTTCTCTAAAACTTTGGACAGGTGCACAGTCTCTTAAAATTTCAGTTTGTCGCACAATGTGTAGCGGGTTTTCCCTACAATTCTTTTTTAAAAATTATTCACAAGTTTTCTCCTATTATCTTTTCATTTTGAATTTCAGTATCTTTAATCAGTGTCTTTCCAGACTAATAGTATTGGATATATTTGCCACTTCAGTTCTCATGTATATGTTCTCACTCTTCTTTGATTGGTAGAAGTTTGCTTTTTATACTAAAGAGTTTGTAATTTTTTCACACGCTCACTAAATATGTCTAAGCTCTCAGCGCAAGGTCCCTACTTCATATTTAATACTCAATGAGTATTTGTGAATTGAATGAGTTGCTCTTTTAAGATTTGTATGTCTGGATTCAGAAACATCATGCAGTAGTAGAAACTGTGTTCAATGTGCTGATGAGGGTGATATAGGATCACAGCGGGGAAGCCTGGCAGTACTCACAGGATTGAGGTTTTGAACCTGTCGCTTCGGTATTCCACGTTGACAACCCCGGCCCCTCCCACTGGCATCCTGCTAACCCACTGAAGGTCAGCTTCGAAATCCCTGTCATGTGGTATGTACCCACAGTTTTGTGGCTTGTTCTGCATTCTGATGGGTTCCCTTTGTCAGGTCTGTACGTCTAATTTCATGGCAGCGTCCTGCATCCGGGCCTTAAGATTTTCCTGAGGCCACATACATTGGTCTTTATCTTCAGATCAGCTCTTGCTTCACATTATCAACCCTCAACAGCCCCCACATCTCGCCTCCTTTCTGATATTTTTTCTAAGGAAGAACACATAAGTTGATCACGCTCCTTGTCGCCCACCCCTCCATCCCCCAAGTGCACACACAGACATTCCTCTTCCTCGCTGTCTGACTTGGTTACCCTCTCCTAATGCATTGTATGTATGGCCTTTGGCTCTTAGCATAGTAAGTGGTTGGTAATGATGAATCACATGCTCAAATGGGATATGGAAGCATTTTGTCAGCCTGCTTCCCTCCGCACCCTTCAGTGAGCCAGGATTGACCCCCCCAAGCTGGTGAGTGAGAAGAGCTCTCGCCGAATGCATTAGGTGACTCACAGTAAGAGTTGCTGAGAGCATTCTCAACACAAGAGGAATAGCAAGGCTCAGAAACTTGGTAAAACTAGTATGCCGAAAAGAAAAGGGTCAGAATCTAGGATTAACTGCTGATTTAAACTGATTTTACGGTCCAGGGGCCGTTTCTTTATCATTTGGGGTTCTTGGTTCCTCATGTTACTCATGACTTGTTCAGAGCATATTTTGTAGCTAGTAATTCAGAGTATCAGATTTAGTGGTTAAAAGATTTGCAACCATGTTTTTCTGTGCACAAAAGGGAAGCATTTACAGAGGAGGACCACCCCCACGCCCACGCCTGTCCCCCTAATTCAGGAAGTTTGGGCAGGCCAGGCCACGTGACCTCATTCCCTAAAGAGCAGAAGGAGTAGCTAGTCTTGAACTTCATTGCTAATTTCCAGAGAGAGATACATCTTGGAAAAGTTTGCTTGCTCTTAGAGACTTCCACATTGTATCCAAAGATAAGGAGGCTGAGGACTGAAGACAGCCACACTGTGTGCTCAGTTACAGCCTGATTCTCTGAAATGACTTTGACTCAAATGTTGGCTTTCGTGTCCGGATGGTGGGTTTTTGCTTCCTTTTGTTCTGCCTTGGAACTCTGGCTGGATCCCCTGAGACAGTTGCGGAGGAAGTAAATACGGGCAATGGCTGGGAAGGCTGGGTGTAACCATGAGCTGTATTATTAGGATGTTCGGATATAAACAGGAGCAGAAACACTGCCAAAAACAAAAGGCAGATCCCTCTGCGCTGCAACTATGTACAACTCTATTTTCAGACTGATGGGAACACAACGTGGGTGTGGTTTATAGAATCACAAGGGGTCCCAGGGAATGAAAAATGATATTGGGGCAGGGGCGGGGGAGGGGGCTGGCGTTCCTTCTGAGGCAGCTTCTCTTGTCCCATGTGGCACATGCAGTGTAGCTGGCAATGTTGAATACCTGTGGGGTCCATGAACTACTTGTCACAGAGGTACTGTGAACAAAAGACTAACTTCGTTTTTTGGCTAAAAATTCATGAATGTGGTCAGAGCCAGAAAGCCTATTTTGGTAACTTATCCCTCCAAAAGATGTGGATATTTAATGGCAGAGTTTCTGTTTTCCTCATTTTGAGCTACTTGCTACACAAAATTTGTGAATCATCTTGAACTATTCTCTCTATTAACCCTCCAGTCGTTTGCCAATCCTGTGTTTGCCTAATAGCTCAAAGACTCCCATCAGGGCAAAATCTGGATAGAGGGGCTCATACTTACCATTTCTGTTTTCCTCTTAAAACTCAACTTATCAGCGGCCTCAGCACTATTATTTCTTCCTAACTGGGCAGTCAGAATGTTTAGCCAAGCCTGGTCTCAGAGCTGGCTAAGATGCGTGTTGATGGTACAAAGAACCAGCTTCTTCATCAATGTAGAAACCTCAGTGTTACGGGTCTGTTGGGAAGAAGACTAACCTGAGGGCAGGTGTGTTACCACTTCCGTACTCAGGACCCTTCTTTTTCTCCCCTCAGTGTATACGTCTCTGGGCTTTTTATGCCTTTCCGAAGCATCTAAGGAAAAGGCCTCTAAATTGGGTTAGAATGATATGTGGTCAAGTTGTTCCTGATGTTCCTGTTACCTTTTCAGTGCCTATGGGATCTTTAATAATGTCCCCCTTTAATTTCTGATACTGGTAATTTGTATCTTTTGTTCTTGGTCAGTCTAGCTAGAGTTTTACTGATATCATTGATCTTTTCAAGGAAACCACCTTTTGATTTTATGATTTTACTGTTTCTCTGTTTTCCATTGCATTCATTTCTGCTCTTTGTTGTTTTTTTAGCCCTGTCTGCTGCTGGTTAATTTGTTCCCTTTTCTGGTTGTTTTTTTTTTTTTTTTTTTTAAATTTATTTTTAGAGAGAGAAGGGAGGGAGAAAGAGAGGGACAGAAAAGCATCCATTGGTTGCCTGTCTCGTACATGGCCTGACTGGGGACCAAACCCGCACCCCAGGCATGAGCGCTGACATGGGATTGAACCAGTGATCTTTGGCTTTGTGGGATGGCGCCCAGCCAACCGAGCCACACTGGTCAGGGCTCTGGTTGCTTAACATGGTAATTGATACTATTGCTTTCAGATCTTTTTTTCTAATACAGGTATTTAATATTATAAATTTTGCTTTAAGCACTGTTTTAGCCTTATCTCAAATTTAATGATAATGTTTAATTTTTTTCAGTTCAAAAATATTTTCTAATATTTAACTAATATCTAATGTTTCCTTAAGATTTCTTCTTCGGTCATGGAATTGTTAGGGTTTTGTTTTGTTTTTTTTAATTTAAATATTTGGCTCTTTTTCCAGATATCTTTTTGGTTTTGATTTCTAAAAAATTAGCACTGTTTAAGCTGAAGAGGATGCTTTATATGCTTTTAACCCTCAAATTTGAGGCTCATTTTATGCGACAGAATATGGTCTCTCTTTCATGTGCACTTGAAAAGAATGTGTATTCCATTATTGTTGGGTAAACTGTTCTATTTGTGTTTGTTAGATCAAATTGGTTGGTAATATTTTTCAAGTTTTCTATGTCCTTACTGACTTTGTGTCTACTTGTTCTATCAATTACTGAGAGAAGACTGTTAAAAATCTCTAATGATAACTTCTAAAAATATGTTAAATGTAATAAAAATTACTTTTATATGCCTAAATGTTATCAAAAGTCTCCTAAAAGCATTAATTGCCAGCCGCCTTAATTGTATTGCGAAAAAGTATTTTTTCTTAAAATAATTTTACCCACTTTTCAATAAAGTTTTAAAGAAAAAGACAGGAGTGATGGTATAGTAGCTACACGTGCCGTGGCTGGGAGATCACCCCCTGTCATTTCACTGTCTGACACTCAGCCGGTTTCTCTTTTTCTTCAGATAAACCGAGAAAGCTGGTGCGCGATAGAGCCGTGTCCGGATGCGCCACCCCTCTTGACTCCCACGCGGGGCCCAGGTGAGCAGGTTTCCAGCTTCCAGTTTGCCCAGGCACCCGGGTGCAGGATGTTCATGGTCTAGGGCTGCAGTCTCACTCTAATACGAGGCTGTTGGACTCCGGGAGCTGTCTTGTCTTAGCCTGGTGTGCGATCCACCAGAGGAATGGGTGTCTGTGGGTTGGGTTCGTAGGCACTTGGTCTCACAATTGACGGTGAGCACGTGTAGTTACCTAAATTAGTAGGAAGTCCTCACAAGGAGCGCTGACCTATTAATTCATCTGTGAAGGCGTTTGTGTGTGCACATATGGTAAAATGGTCTTAATCTGGTAAAACTATAAATACGTACTGTTAAGAACTAGTGGCTCCCAATTTTGGCTGCACACTGGAAGTATTCTCGACAGGGTTGGGCGGTGAGGGCGGGTTTGAGCGGAAAGGTCAGGGGATCAGGAGATACAAAGGTATAGCTGCGGCGTACGGGGCTGCAGCGCGCAGTGCAGGGACCGCAGTCAGGATCGCAGGAACGCCGTGAGCTAGACTTCTGGGGGGCTGGGGGTGTGGCCTGGGCCACAAATTCCTTCAAAGCTCCTTTGGTTCCTCTCCTGTGCAGCCAGCCAGTAAGGACCATAAACTCTGGAAGGAGTGTCAGGAATTGCGTCTTTCCCTAAGTACCCACAAGGCCCTAGGAACAACAGAGGAGGGTAAAATGCTCTCAAGACCTTGCTTAGTCGTAACACAGCACGTGGCTGGTGGTCGGGTAGGTGTCCCAGCTGCCTACCAGGCTTAGTCACTAATTCACTGTGACGAAGTCATGTTCCCTCCTGTCTCCTGGCTCTGTTGTCTCTCATCTCCAAAGCTTTTCTCACGGGAGGGCGGGTGATGGGGAATGTTGCCTGAAAACCACAGTGATCAACTGCAAGTCCCATGCCTGTCTCTGCGGCTGCCTTGTGAACACTGTCTGTTTACATTCTGGCCTCTGAAGTCCAATATAGCCCCCCAAAAACTTGTTTCCCTTCCTAGATTTTAACTGCTTTAAAATTACTGAGAAAGTTCTTTTCTGGTCTTTCTGGAAATAGCTTAGCTGTGAATGTGCTGCAGTATTAAATTGAAAGACGAACTTCAAATTGTCTCTCTCCAGAGCGGTTTCTTACTGATTCTGAGCTCTTTGAGTTCACTCCGTGGGAAGTGCTGGAAACAAGTGTGAAACATGTTTTTCTCTACCTTTGCCACCCCTGGAGAAAGTGGTAAAAGGATACTAATAGCCGCAGTAAGTGTTTAGGGTCTCCGCAGATTACGATTGGCTCTGTTCACAGATTTAACTGAAACTTCCCCTTTCCAGCCCCCTGGAACTTTTTGCTTAAAAGTATCTACTTATTTTTTATTCCTTAAGCTGTCTGGGGCTTTTTCTCAAAGTGTAGTTACTCCCAGCCACCCAGGCAAGGTTGAATGAGATTGCCTCACAATGTGGATGCTCACAGGGTGTTTTTCCACGCATTGCAGTTTATTTTACTCATTAAAGAAGTGAATTTCTGAGCCCCTGAAACTTTCCCCAGGACATAATCTTGACTTCTGTTGATCCTTCCGTATGCCCAACCCTTTGGCGTTTTTAGAGCGATTCTTTCTAAACCTCCACATAACAAAGTCAAATATCTGGATTATGCTTCTGAACCTCAGATGTGAGTTTTTGTTTTTGTTTTTTACTTCAGGCATTGTTTTTTGTGAATTCTGGGCAGGTTTTCTTCTTTTACTTCTTGAATACAGCTCAGGTCAGCAAAAGTGTTAGGCCAAATGAAAGAATGTCTTTTAAAATTGCTTTGTATGTTTTTAAAATTTGGATAAAGAAATACAAGATTTCATTATGATTAGCATGGTTCAGCAAAGCCCAGTGAGTTTTGCTGGTATATTCCTACCCTTCCCCAACTATAATTTGTTTGCGTACCTATAATATTATACCTAAATGACTAGATAGCATCTTTAAAAGTACACGTTTTGCTAGCTGTTAAAAATCTAATAGCTGAGGACACAGAAGTTACTGACATTTTTATATGGGCCATAAAACAGTCCTGGCACACCTCAAGGCACTGTCCTTACCAGATGTGCGTGGAATCGTACGTCAGAGGTTAATGGAGCCTCAGCTTCGTTAGGCGTGTTTCTCGCACGCCTGCTGCATGCTGAGGGGCCAGTTCTGGCTTCTGTCTGCATAAATCATTTCTAACTGTCACTGCGACTGTTCCAGGGAGGTACTACTCATCCTCTCACGTCACTGGTATGGAAGTGGAGACCTAGGGGGTTAAATGACTTCTTGCCTAGGATCTTTCTGCTAATAGGTATCAGACCTGGATTTAAGTCACGTCAGCCTAAGTTTGAAGCCAACACCTATTCTTTATACCTTCATATGCCGCTCTCTTTTATTCATCAGGAAGAAAGGAAAGATTTTTATTAGTTTTGAAAACTTACCAACACGCGTGGGCTGGCCTGTAGGTTAGCTTTGCCTTTCGCCTCCCTCCTCCCTTTGTGGGTTTCACAAGGGTTTAAAGTCCTTCGCTTCACCCTTTTCCTGGTTTCCGTGATCCCCTGCTCCTCCCTGTCCCCACAGTCAGCATTCCGTTACACGGCAGACCCTTCCCCACACTTGGTCGGTGGGCCCTGTGGCGCTTGGATCTCTTTTCTGGGTGAGGCCTTCCTGCGAGGGCAGGGTCTGGATCTTCCCTGTGGTTTTTCCATCCGAATGTTTCGAGCTGGTGTGTTTTCCCGTCGGAATTTGGACGTGGTCTGTGAGCCTGCCAGCTGGACTGCCAGGCCGTGGTGCAGTTGCCGCGACAGCCCTTTCTGTCCTTGGCCAGCGCCCTGTTTTCCCCTCAGCCGCGGAGCGGAGCTTTTGATTTTTCCAAGTGTGGAAGAAGTAAAAGGATCACACGCAGCAGCCCCGCCTGAGGCGGCGCGTACGAGGAAATGGGCGTGGGGAGGACCCCCCGGGTGCCCGCGGTCTCCAGGTTGGTAGAGGTAGGGCTGCTCCCACTGAGGGCGCGCTCAGAAACCGTCCAGACACCAAGACTAGACTGAACGAAGGCCTTTTTTTTTCTTTGTCTGAAGCATTTCAGATCGATCCGTGGGCCCAGCCTCACTTCCCATGGCATCCTCTGTGTACTTCTGTGCTGAAATTGTCTCTTACTGTGTTCATTTCCACTGCAGATTGTAAACCTCCCCCCCAACACACACACACTAAACCCCTCTCTTTTGGACATTCCTGAGCACATAGTCAAATGCCTAACTAGCAGAAAAGGTGCCGCTGTTGACAGGCGATTCATGACCTATCCCAGTGCAGTGCCTCTTTGGTCTTCCTCTGAGATTCCTGGCTAATCCAGAGCAAATAGTTTTCCTAATGATCAGTTACTACTTAATTTAGGTAGGAACAGCGTCCCCTTCTCCTTGTTGCAGCGTGCATGTGAGCACGCACACACTTACTGTCCTAGTGGGCCCACCAAGAATGGAGAGAGACACTGGGGGTAATGTAGTCCCAGCTTCACTTCCCCTCCTTTTCAGAAATCTCTTGACACAGCCATTGAGCCTTTGCTGCAAACCCTCTGGTGACAGAACACTTGTTATTTATGAGGCTCAGCCAGCCCAGCAGCCCGGTTATAGTGACGCCCTGCGCCCTCCGGCCTGTGCGCTTTGTTCTGTCGGGGGAGCAGCAGCTCCTTGGACACATCTCCTTCCTGCTCCTGTAGCAGTAGGTGAACCGTGTTTCGTGTTCCCACCACTGTGCCCTCATTCCCATGCATGCACTTCTGTTTGAGTTTTAATTTAAGGGCTCTCTGGGAGCAGACACAGCCCTATGGGTGCAGTTCCGCTGTCACATGGCCGCAGACCTTTCCTCACTTTGGGTTTGGGTCTGTAACGGAGCCTGAAATGATGAGGGTTTTCTGTTTGCCAGTGACCTCCCTTGCCCCGCATCACATAGTAGCACATACACATTCGGTAAACGTGCACACACGTCCAAATCACACACAGGAATGCTCCTCAGCTGGAGATGTTTCACTTTTCTAAACTTCTTGAAGGGGTTTGATCTCGACCTGCTGTTGAGTTTCTTTGGGTTTTTGGGTTCATCATGTACAAGTGATTTTACCTCTGTTGCTGCCAGGTCACTTGTCCCTTTGTTTACAAAGTTCCTCGGAGAGAATGGGTGGAATACCTTTCTGATTTCAGTATATTAAACCTATAGAATTCCTGGACGCCCCAGTCTAATGTTTCTGTCAGAGCCCCCTCCATCCGGGACGGCAGTCCCTGTCCTAGTCGCTGAACTGGGAACAGAATTTAGATGACACATTTCCTCCTTCAGCATGTCATTCCCTGCTGTCAGGGGTATTCCGATACAAGAAATCAAGTAATTCTATTTCTGTCCTTACTCCTTCGAACCGGAGTTTAACGTCCTGATGTGTTCATTAGATGTGCTTCCCCTCTGTCTTTTATCTCAGTATTTTGATAAAGTAACAGGTTTCCAGAAACAGCTCAAAACAAATTGGCCATAAACCCTATCATATAGTTTCTGGTTTTGGTACCCAAAGAAATAAAATTTTCTGACTACCAGGAGGAGAAGATTACCATTTAAATACCTAAATATAAATGGAATCATGGTTCTAAATCATTGATCTTTCTGTACCTGTCTTTTACCTGACACACCCATGGTGGTTGTGTAGTAACTGTATCAGCCTCGCCTTAGAGCTCCAGAGTGGAAAGCTGCTAATTTGATTTGTATCCTGTACAGCTTCTTCATATCAGAAGGGGTGAGGGAGGGAGGTTGGTTAGTAGATTTAAAAGGTTGCTTGCTGGAATGAAGAGATTGTTGTTTTTTTTTTTTTTTAAGTATTTGTTGAATTAATTTTCTTTTTCAGAATGTGAGAACTTCCTGGATGTCGGGCTGGGCAGGGAGTGCGCCCCCAAACAAGGCGTCCTTAAAAGAGAATCTGGGAGTGATTCTGACCTCTTCCACTCGCCCAGTGAAGAAGTGGACAACATCGTCTTCTCTAAGGTAGCGTGTGTCACTCTGCCGGGAGCCGTGACCCCACCAGCCATACCGGGCTTCTCTCCGGTGCGTACGTGATCTTAGAGAAGTGCCAGTGCTCCCTCCAGAGACGGACGCTCCAGTTTCCAGGGTGTAGACACAGGCCTTGGCCTTTATTTTCTGCAGAATCATGGCTGGTTACACTCAAGTTTTGCCACTCACACTGAAGACTAAAGAAATGGAAGTGAATTAAATCAGATGACAATGAGTGCCTTTCAGTGGGCAGGAAGGACCACAGCTCAGACTGTATGATGTCATGTGTATAAACTAACCACAGAGTCATTTCTGATTAATGTGTTTAGGCGTGAAGCTCTCTGTTGAGCTTGGTGATGTCACGCTTCTTAATTGGAACTTTCTAGATCTCTGCTCGGGAGCCCCAGCTTTCTCGCCGGTGAATAAGCCAAGCACATCCACATGAATCACCTTGTGTTTTTTGTATAATTTGAGGCCCCTGTAGAGGCTAGGAGATGGGGGCGGTTTGCTCATGTTTGTACCTACTTACAGCGAGTTCTGCTTTGTTTCCTGAGAAAACTCGCCGGCTTTCCCACAGCAGGGTCAGCAGCGGTACTCAGTTCTCTGCCACAAGTGGGTGTCTTAGTAGGAGGGGGAAGAGGCAGGCGCATTGCGGCGGCTGTGGGAGCCGTTGTGTTAGTGCATGGTTACGTGGAAGGTTCCAAGGACCACGTGATGGTGCTGCGTCGCAAAGTCATGAGAGAAGAGTGGAGGCTTAGCGTTCTGGGTTCACTGGTATGTAAGTCTCTGTAAACGCACCTTCAAACACTTTTTCGTCCCAGTGGCTCCTGTGTCCATCTGACCTTCTCTGGCCCTTCTCCACCTTGTTCCTTTTCCTTGTGCTCATTATCTCCTGGAAATCCTTGGAAAGATTATGGAGCTTCAGGATGCCTGTCACCATTACTCATAGCAGACTGTGGCCTTGTTGACTCCAGGGATTCTGCAAAGTGAAAAATCCATGCACTGGGAAGCTGGATCCTTCTCTGAAGTTATTTAGGAAGAGGGACACCAATAGGATTTTTTTTTTTTTTTTTTTTTTTTTTTAAGTAACAGAACTTGGTGATTACCACTGTGATTTTGAGGTTTTCATTGTAAGGGCTTCTAAAATCTCCCCCCACCACCACCACCCCTAGGGGAATGCCGTTCTGGAGATATTCGGCCCTGAAAGTAATCAGTTTTTTGTCTGCGATAAATAGATTAGATAACATCTGTAAGTGCCAGCTTTAGGTTTGAATCATTGGTGTCATGGATACGCACATAAACTTTCGTTAAACATTTCTGCATGCCTGAAAATTTTCATAGTAAAAAGCTTTTTAGAAGTGAAAAAGTCTTCATTAAGAAACGCTTGCTGCCTCCTGAGCGCGTGCACAGAGCCTTGTCTCTGGGTGTTATCCTCTCTGCGCAGCGGCCATTATTTCCGCCCACAAATAGGAATGATCTTCCCAGCTCTGCAGGAACAGAATCTGCTGTATTTCACCTGCTTTTTCAAACCGCCAAAGGCATTTATGAGATTGTTCATATCAGTGGCCAGTGATAGATTTAGCAGTTTTTTTCTTCCCTTCAGGATGCCTAGAGACAATTTTGACTCCCCAGATTAAGTCTTACCTACATCTGGCACCGGCCTGCTGTGGGAAACCAGCCCGGTGGTGCACCCTCACCTCAATGTGCAGTCACCCAGATGCTCTGCCAGCCTCTCGAGGTGGGCCCGGCGGCTCTCCTCTTACTGGTTCCCCTCTCCTGAGGTTGGTGACGCAGTAAATGTTTTCTCTAGCATTATTATAACCAAGGGTTTACACATGAAAGGAAAAGGAGAGACAGACTGATGTTTACAAAGCACTTCCTATATAGCAGGCACTGAACTGGATTTTCGACATGTGTCATCTCGTTTGTGCTCCCGGCAACCCTGTAAGGAGGGTGTTGTCATCCTCCTTGTACTCCTGAGGATATCTGTTCATTCGCTATTGTTTTGCTTTCGATCTCCCGACACACCGCTTTATAGCCAGTGGCATAGAGAAGCCTAGCAGTGGCAGACGTGCCATCAGCAGCTTCCCTAGAAGCCTTTCTTGGTGGTCTTCCACGCGTGTGCTGCGCAACGTCGGACTGCCCCCAGGTTTCGACCCTGGCGCCAGCCTCTTCTCCCTTCTCTGAGGTGCAGTCTGTAGGAAAGCCGTTGCGGCAGACTCCCTTTAATGTGAGCCACGGGTGGTGCGGGAGGCCACTTCCTGCAGCCATGGCTGTGACTGGCTCTCCAGAGGCCCCTTTACAACAGCCTGCAATATTGGTCCCGAGCTTTTTGCCTTAACCTGGTGTTTCCATTCAGTCTGTGTCCTGGTAAATACTATGAGTTTTTGGTGAGTCTTATGAGCTTCATGTTTATTCTTATGGATATGGGCTGGTTTGTAAGATCTCAGCGCATACCATTTAGATTTTGTTTTTAAAATGAAAAGAGATCCTGAGATTCTCTTCACAGTAAGAAAGTATGATCATAAAATACACGACCTGGCCCACCCTGGCATCCAAAAGGCTAATTGAAGCCCATAGAAAATACTAAAAGGTGCTGCCTCTTTTCCCAAAGAGAAAATAAAGCCCTTTCGCCTTGTTATTTTTTTTCCTCCAAGTTATAAGACGTATCCACGGTCGATTAGGAAAATCAAAGGAACTCCTTTCTAAGATGTTGAACTTGAAAGGAGTATCTTTTCTTTCATGCTATGGTTTGCTCTCAGCTGCTTGATCACCAAGCCAAAAATTTACCTTTTCACTTTTAACCTTTGGGGGATAAAAGTACACTTTCAAATCCAAAATAAAATAATCACTTATGCACTCGTATTAAAATTATATAGTAGTATTAAAATTTCAGAACTGTAAAACAGAGATAATGCTTGCTATCAGACACTTGAGATTCTTACAGAAATATTGCACTTAAGCGATTGGCACATAGTAGGCATTGAAAACATGAGCTGTTATTTTCCAAGGCACGTGTGCCTTCTGCGAATAATCACAGATAACAGTTTATAAATATTTGATGAATAAATGAATGAAAATTTAAAAACAAGTATTTTGCCAATAGTAAGCATGATTCCTTCAGGCGTGATAGCTGTATTATATTTGTGTGTATATAATGTTTACACCTCTCTGTATACATATGTATCTATACAGGGTCACTCTGGCTAAGAAAACCAATCTGGCCTTTTATTCGGCGCTCACCCTCCCCCAACATTTTTTTCAGTAAATTCTGAAACACACAGAAAGGTTAGAATTGTGCAGTGAACACCCTCCACCTAGATTCTACAACTAACTTCTTGCTCTGTTTGCTTTATTATAACTGCGTAGATACGCAGTTATACATCCTTCTTTCTACCCACCAATCTATCTGACTTCTTTGATGCATTTCAAATATGTTACAGGTATGAATACACTTCATCCCTAAACACTTAAAATTCATTATGTTTGTAGGATTTTTGTTTTTTTGTAAAATTTACACACAATGAAATGGAGAGTTTCAAGGGAACCATTTGATGACTTTCCCTGCAGCTTTACTGAATTATAATTGACAAATAAAAATCGTACACATAAGGTGTACAATGTGCTGTGTTCGTGTACGTGTGCAATGAGAAACGATCGCCACAATCAGGCCAGCCCACCCGCCTGTCACTTCGCCTGATGGCCCTTTTTGTGTGTGTGGTGAGAACACTTGAGACTGGCTCCCAGGAGATTGCAAGTTCACAACACTGTTACTAACTGTAGTCTCTGTGCTGTGCATTATGTCTCCAGAACTTACTCATCTCATAACTGAAAGTTTGTTCCCTTTGACGTTGCCCCGTTTCCCCCGCCCTCCAGCCACCCTTCTACTCTCTGTTACTATGATTTTTGACACTTTTAGATTCCACATACAGGTAAGATCTTAGAGCCTTTGTCTTTCTGTGTCTGGCTTATTTCGCTTGGCACGATGCCTGCCAGGTCCATCCATTTTATTGCAAGTGGCAGGATTTCCTTCTTTTCTTAAGGCTAACAGTTCCTTAATCTAGTCGTCTGTAGACGCATACTTAGGATGTTTCCATATCTTGGCTGCTGTGAAGAATGCTATGAACATGGGAGTGCAGGTGTCCCTTCAAGGTAGCCACGTTATCTCCGCCGGCTGTGTACCCAGGGTCAGGTGTGTGTGGACACACACAGCTAGTGTTACAGCCGGTGGCCCAAGTGTAATTCCCTTCATTTCAGTTGGTGGCATTGACTGAAAGCACTGACCTGTATTAGATTTTTTTCCCTCTGTAAGAAAATGAAAGTCAGTGCACTTCTAGCCGCCGCCCAGTCAGGAATAACAGAGGCTCCCTCCTGGTCCCGCTTTCCAACGGCTGTTCTTTCTCCCCACGGCAGCCCGAGGAGGAGCAGTCCGTCTGTGACATCACTGGATCCAGTTCTTCCACCGATGACACGGCTTCCCTGGACCGACATTCGTCCCATGGCAGTGATGTGTCCCTCCCCCAGCTGCCGAGTGTGAGCAGGTCCAGAGACCAGCCGCCCCGCGATGGCTTCCACAGCCCCGGGGCGGGAGCCGAGGGCCGGGAGAGTGAGAGTGAGCCCGCGGGCGTGGGTGAGATGGAAGAGGAGGAGATGGACAGCATCACCGAGGTGCCCGCGAGCTGCTCTGTGCTGCGGAGCTCTATGCGCTCCCTGTCCCCTTTCCGGAGGCACAGCTGGGGTCCTGGCAAGAACGCAGCCAGTGATGGAGAAATGAACCACCGGAGGTGAGATGCCAGGCTGTGTGTTTAGTCTGTCTGTCTGCTTGCTCTTGAGAAGTGTCTGATTTGGGGTTATCGTTGGTAACAGATTTGAGGAAGCACTGTGGTATAGAAGAGCAGAATAGCCTTTGGGACCAGGAAAGACCCTGTTGAAGCTTTAGACCTGTCTGCGTAGACATCCTTGGGCAAACTATTGGACCCCTCTGAGCTTTAATTTTCTCATCTGTAAAATACCCGCCTTTCAGAGTATTTGTAATAAATATTACAAGTGAAATATGTCAGTCACATAGAAATTGTTTAATAAACGGCAACATGTATTCAGGCTAGGTTTGTTAATGGAATTCATAGATTACAAAATATTGGAAGGAATGCTGTGACAGTTTTAAATTAAAAAATAAACATGAAATCTTATAGTTGAACACATCTAGGTTTTGAAAGTGCTTCACAGGAATTGCCCTCTCTTTCTAATGCAGAAAGTTTTGACAAAGTCTGGATTATGAGCATACCCTCAACATTACCAGAGTCATGGCACGTCATTCAGTTATTGGTGCTTTTCCATGTGTCATCCAGTGTTTGGGGGCTTTGGTGGGCATGACCCAGCCGTAGACCTTCCGACCTTCAGTTGGGAGGCGGTCTGTAGGAAGAGAGGTGGGATTGGTTCCTGGCCATTGGCTTGTCCAGGTGAATTCAAGCACCTGGTTTTCGCTCTGAAGAACAAGCACCATGATGCCTGCTGTGCGCACAAAGGTGTGCTTACTCCAGAGCCCTTTCTTCATGGCAGAGGGAGCGCGTGGGGGAGGCTGACAGTTGTTCTAAAACACTTCACATAAACAGCATCACTGAAGCAATTACTGTTCTTCTTTAAAAAAAATTGTTGACCTCCTCATAGTATTTTGGTTCCGATTTCATAGTTATAAGTACATGTAACTTGATGATACTACTTATTCTTTTATTCAACCAATATACATCATGCATCTTCCACATGTCAGACATTTCTGTGTTCTGGATACGCAGAGGTGAATGAGACAATGTTCCTGCCTTCATGGAGCTCAGAGGAATACCTTCCATTTTCCTCATTTGCTCCTCTTTTCAGACTCCTTTAACAACACGTTTTCTCATGTGCCTGAGCCAGGCAGTATCACCCCCATTTTTGCAGGTGGGACTGGGGCACATAGTCTGTCTCTCCTGCCCAAAGTCAGTCAGATCCTGGTTTCCGATCTCCTAGTCAAGTACCCTCTGTGATTCCATATTTATTACTTACTGTCAGGTGGAGTCCGGAATACTTGCCTTAAAAAGAAGGCCTTGCTTTATCTGCTGGGTAGTTTTTGTTTGCATTGGACTACCTAGATTATTTAAAAAGCAATTTCTAAAAGCTTTTTATTTTCAGCTTTGTTCATGCTGGAATTTTTTTTTTTTTTAAAGCATTCACACCAATGGACACAATAAAGATATGGGGAATGATCCTTGCAGCAGGGCATTCTTATCTTAGATAGTAACGCTGTCAAGAAACAAGGGTTTATTTTCTCTATCAGCCATTTTTCTTTTAACCCACTATGGACCCCTTTGCCATGACCTTCATTTCAGAGCCAGATGGGGTTTTATGGGTCATTTGGCTCAGATGAGGAAATTGAAGTTCAGATTAAATGATTTGCCCAGGATTACACAGTGCTCTTGTGACCGAACTAAGACTGGAACCCTATCATCTAAGTTACTTACATTTTCAGCGCGTCACTGTCATGGCGGCTCCTGCTGGGGTTCAGCTCTAAGGATTACCCAGCACCACTGCCGTAAGGCCTCTGGGGACAATGGATGGAGAGTCAGCTATCCCTTAGTCTGTCTAATTCTTAAGTGTTACCTGCATATGGTGTCAGCTGAAATTTCAAGCATTAAGAAAACTCTTTAAAAGTTTTGGATGGCCTTCCTTTCTCCTTATCCTTTTACTTTTATAATTTAGAAAACCTGGTTCCTTGCCATCTGATTAACTGTACTATTTCTCTTTGGGGATTGTGTCTCTCCCCAGTGTGATGTCTGCATGTTTCATGCGTTTGTATCCATTTTGTTTCACCTGGACACTGACCTCTTCCACCATTCATTTTCAGTTCAATGCGAGTTCTTGGGGATGTTGTCAGGAGACCTCCCATTCATAGGAGAAGGTACAGAGTTCACTAACTTGTTGGACTAACCATGTTGCCTCTGAGCATATACTAACAAGCATCTCATTATTCTGCTTATTCCATGATTAAACAGCTGTTCTCAAATAATGGTACATCTGCTTCAAGCAAATAAAATATAAGTACTTAGTTGCTGACTGTCCATTCCCTGTGAAATGGTTTCTTGAATTGGAGGTTTTGATGACAGGGTCTCCCCAGCTTTCTCCAGAAGAGCCGGAAGAAATGTTTATGTTGTGCCTTTATAATGGGCCCGAGGGAGGACTTTGTCTTGCTTTCCCAGAAAAAGTGGGGTGCAGAAGCAGCAGGAATACTTGTGCGCTTTGCACACAGGCCTTGAAATGTTTCCCGCCCGTTCTTTAAGACGATGTGCTGAAGGCCTTTATTCCTGGGCCACTGGTCGTGTCCTTTCCGTGGCTGATGCAGTCGCCCCTGAAAGCCAGGGGCGTCGGCTGGCCTCTCAGGCCGTGTCGCTGCCCAGTGCCGGCACTGTTTTTTCTTAGGTAAAATTTTGAAGCTAAAAATGAGCGATAAGCTGGAAAGTCATTTCTACTTAAAAAGACTGATTTGCTTTAAATTTTTCAAAGGCCAAGCTCTGTTTTTTTTGTGCAGGAGTCTTCAGTGACCTTTTCTACCATTGCCTGGAAAAACATTTACAAATCCAAAAATGATTGTTCGAGCACTGTTAGCTTCTCATATTAGGAGACCCTTAGGAAGAGGTATTTTTAACATTAGCTGAAGGTGTTTGTTGAGAAGCCAGTGAGTAGTGATCTTTTCCATTGTGCCTTTGAAGGGGCTGCTTCCTTTAATTCCAGAGTTAAGTGCCTGGCTCTCCACCGAAGCTGTTTTATATGAACCTATTGAAACCATGCACTTATAGACCCTGGAAGATGGTGAGTGGCTGGACGCAGGCCGAGCCAGCCTATAGACGCAGCTGTCCTGGCCCCTCCAGGGACAGTTTCACCCGTAATCCTGTTCCGTAGGGAGAAGAGGAGGCACACCCTACAAATTTGGTATTAAGTCTCCACTAGTAAAATTCAGACATTCCAACAAGTATCAAAAAGTGGTGGAGGAGAGGTTTTTTTTTGTTTGTTTGTTTTTTTAATCTAGAACTTCCTCAATTTGAAAACAAAGCCAAAGAGCCACGAAATGGGACCCCTCCTCCCCCACGAGCTGAGGAACCGGGGACAGTAGGATACTCTCAGAAATACACTCAATTGTGGAAGAAGTTTCCTGCTGCTGCTGCTGGACCACCCGCAGCTCCCTGGGCTCTTGGAAGAGCAGCCGCCCCCCTGCATGCCCCCCTGTCGCTCTGCGTGCCCTTCACTTTACATTTCGTCCCAGTCCCCCACGTATTTTTGAGAGGAAAGGGATGTTTAAATCAGTAGGAGTGTTTTTTAATATAACAGAATTCTATATATAATTTATAACTTGACAGTGTGTGTTCAGCACCTGATTAACCACATTCTGTTTTTAATAAGAAGTTGGGTTATTTAGGTATAATATGCATTTTTATCAACAGTTTGGAGATGTATAGTTAAGTTAAAATTTAATTTAATTTTTTGAAGATTTTATTTATTTAGAGAGAGGGGAAGGTAGGGAGAAAGAGAGGAGAGAAACATTGATCTTGCCCATCCCCCAACCGGGGAGGAGCCAGACCTGCAACCCAGCCATGCGCCCTGACCGGGAATCGAACCATCGACCTTTTGTCTGTGGGACGACACCCAACCAACTGAGCCGCACCGGCCAGGGCTAAGTTAATAATTTTAACGAATGGATGTGTGAGTCTTCTGTGTGCTTGCTTGTAAATTATATCAAGGCTTACTTCTACTCACAAGTCAGCCTGGCCTCCCTTTCCAGACTAGAGTGCCTCAGTGGTGTACTTCTACTTTCTGCACCTTTGCTTGGGAGCTTGTATACTGTTAATTTAATCTGATTTAAAATTTTCTACAATTTAAAATATTTTAAGTTGATATTAAAGATTTACTTTAAGGAGAGTCATTTGGGTAGCTTTTACGTTTATTCTCCCACCATTTTCCTTGTCTTCTCCCCTCTCTCAAAAACCCTTGCTTGTCAACCAAAAAACCGTATTAACTGTGTAGTAGGTGCTCCCTTATCCACGGGGGGATCTTGGAACCGATGCCCTGTGGATGCCTAAAATCATGGATAGGACCAAACCCTATATACACTGGTGGTTTTTTTCCCTCCCCGTATATAAAACTTATGATAAAGGTTAATTTATAAATTAGACACATTAAGAGACTAACAATAACTAATAATAAAATAGAACCATGACGACAGTATACTGTAACGGAAGTTACGTGAATGGCCTTGAAGCCATTGTTAAGTAAAATCAGGGTAACGTGAACGCAAACAGTGCGATGCCTGCACAGTCAGCCTACAGTGACCGAGTCGGCTACTGCGGGGTTGACTAATGGGCAGGGGCTGAGCACAGGGTGGAAGCTGGACAGAAGGACGATTCCCCTCGGAGTGTGATGGGCAGAGTGGGGCGGTGGGAGACGTCTCCCCACGACTGAGGCGCATACTGTAAAACATTTCCGGAATTTTCCATTTAATGTTTTTAGACCGTGGGTAACTGAACCCTTAGGAAACAAAACTACGGATAAGGGGGACACACGACTACGGATAAGGGGGACACTGCTGCAGGGAAGATGGGCGGGGCTTTGACTGTTCCCTGGGCCTCCCCGCTCTGCCGTTAAGAGGGAGCTGTGGTGTTACTGCTCTCCGCCTTCTGGAAGCAAAGGCCCTTTAGTTAGGACTTGAAGGCCCAGATTGTAGCAATGTATTTCTGAAGCGTAGCCTTTCTTAATCAAGCATCCCGGGGCCTATTGATGCAGTTCCCCTTGTAGAGTAACTGATACTGTGAATTGGTTACTTTTTGGCTGTTTGTATTTACGTAGCTTTTCCAACCCGGAATTTTCTGTACCTGCTGCTGGAGAATAAATATCAGTGCTGAGACAGATAGTCAAGGAAGTAGATGAACAAATGGATTTTTAAATTTTTGTTTGAAAATTAAAAAGACAAATTTCTGAGTATGACAGAATTTTTTTAAAAAGAAAACAAATCCCTTTGTTATCATTAAAATACAAGGAAATGTGACCATTGTTAAATGCTGTATTTTTCGCATGAAAGCCTTGAGAGTAGTGTTTGAGGATGGATGTGAATGGATGTGAGTCGTCACTGGGTATTGTCCTTAGAGACATTTATGAATTGTCTGGCTTAGATGGTTCCTTACTGGAAACACATGACAAACCCTGATGACTCAGCGAGCCTGCGGCCACCATGAAGTGTGTCATTGTTCACTGTAGTTACGATGTAGACATGCCGTGGTCAGGGAGGTGTGGGAGTGGGAGGTACACGGAGAGGTTGTCCCCGATCGTGGAGGCCGACACTTCTGGGTGGGTGCTGCAGAGGCAGCCACGAGTCGGCGGGGCGCTTGGTGCAGGTTCTCCGGAAGGAACTGGGTTTCAGGTTGGATTTGTTACCCCATTCAGAGCTTACATAGTCATTCCTAGCACATTGTGTAGATAAACAGCAGTAGAACGATTTTAAGATTCCATGGTATTTGTTCTTGCCTTTTTGTAAATCAGTGCTGCATTTCTAGTTTTTTGATGTTCATATAAATCCATCTGTCTCTAACTGTGCCCTTTCTTTTTAAACCCAATAACCCCGTCCCTGTTTCCTCTTTTCTCCCTCCATTTCTATTTCTGTCGTTGATGTCATCCCCAGTATGAGCTGGTGTCCCTCTGGTGTGCAATACTCTGCTGCCCTGAGTGCTGACTTTAATTACAGAAGGTATGGTATTGTTCTGTGTCCAGCTGCCCAAGGGGGAAGGCCCGCAGTAGGGCACGTGGGCTTTCGGCTTGGAGCTGGCTTCTCTGTGGCTGGATTGCATATGGCGGCGGGCTGCTTTGTGTGTGAGCGCACTGTCCTGTTGCCTCTGTTGTTGGCGTCGCTGACCCAGTTGGAGGGGTGCAGCTGAGAGGTCGGGTGGTATATGGACCCTGATGCATCCTGTGTGTCCCAGGTGGCTGTAGATGGGGCGTTTTCTGCACATTGGTGTCCAGGCCTCCGTGGTGCGCTAGACTGCTCCTCTCTTTGTTTTGGTCTTCCCTGATTCCCAGAACCTGGGAATTCCCACGCCCTGAGGAAAACATTCACAGAAGCAAAGCAGCTCGTAAGATGCACTTATTTCTTAGGTGCCACCAAATCACCAGTCGCTTTAGAATCCAAATTCACAAACTCTCCATTTCATGTTTCTTCTTCTACTCAGCAGCCAGATTTCATTACTAAAACATTTCTAGGATTAAGTTTTGTGATAAGCATAGATCTGGTTTTCTGAGGCTTTAACAAATCATTCATGGTAGAAAACTAAATTTCTTCTTCATTAGCCTTTTTTCTTACCCCTGGTATTAAAATGATTTTTACAGAGACATTACCTGTAGGTAGTCATGATTTCTGTTGTCATATTGAAATTTAAAAAACAACAACAACATTGTTTAATATGGTTTTAATTTATAGCAGTTTGTGAAATTAAAAAAAACACAAATACAAGCCTTTCTAGACTGGTATTTGTGAATTATTTGTAGCAATTAACTGTACAGTTTGAGCAGAAGTAACTAAATAGCTTCAGTATCCCTTCAGATAAAATTTGGCTGTTTGTAAGTGAGGACGTGGTCAGCTACAGCTGTATTTTGATATCTTGCTTATTTGGAAGAAGCTTCCCCTGTGGTTTTAGCAGATGTAAGTTTTTCTGCCTGGGAACCCTCAAAACGACAGATGCTAACATCTATCTGTAGCCACCTGCTTATAGAAAGTGCTTTTTACTCTGAAAACCACAAAATTCTTTATTCCAGGGATCCCATTTTAGATACTAAACCCTAAGTTTGTCTCCCCCCCCCCTTTGCCAATATATCAGAACAAAAAATTTAAACTCTTAGACTTAGTAGCTTTTCAGCTTTTATTCTTTGAGGTGTCCTGCGGGCCTGTCTGCAACTAACCGTTCTCAGGAAATCTGTCAAGCACTTGTCCGGGCAGGTGTGCACTGATGGTGATGCTCCTAAGTAACACTTGGGTTTTCTGGGGGGCTGCATAGCTGTGAAGTCAGAAAGCTCAACTAAACTGTGGTTGAACTTAGTTATAAAGGTCCACTTAATGGATGCGGGGGCATGTCTGAGTCTCCCCGTTTGCCATCTGAAAGTTACTCACGTTTGTATTTTCTCCATGCCATGTAATTATTTGGCATTAGAAGAGTTAGATTTCAGCAAAAATCAGGGGAAAACATGTAAAGAAAAGATCAATAAGATCATAGGATCTGTCTATATGATAATATTGGGGAAAAATACGAAAAAGTGACCTTAGATGGTTCAGCATTTGAGCAGGTTGAAGGACATAAGAAAGTCTGCGTGCAGCCTTCTTTCTGAGCGCACCGAGACCTGTGAGGGGAAAGGTAGGTGGTGCTCCTTTGTGCGGGCCCTGCGAGGTGAGGGAGAAATTGCAGATGTGCAAGAGCGATACCGCTCACGGGGTTTCATATCCTCCTTTCTTTCCGGGACTCAGAATAGAATGAACTAACTTTCATGCTCTGTGTTCAGTTTCAGCCTAGAAGGCTTGGCAGGGGGAGATGGTGTCGGAAACAAGCCGTCTTCATCCCTGGAAGTCAGCTCTGCCAGCACGAAAGAGCTGAGGCGCCCTTTCAGTGGGGAGGAGCGGGGCGACTCTTTGGTGTCCCTTTCAGAAGAGGACCTGGAGGCAGACCAGAGAGAGCATGGGATGTTTGTTCAGCAGGTAAGGCTGAAATGTGTACATGTAGCTACTTTGGAAAACCTTGATTTTATTTCCCTAAATATGTCCTCGTGTCAATACGAGCCTAGCAGCTATGATTACTTACCCATTACATAATCTTCTCAGTCTAGCACAAAGTAAGTCGTTAGCACTTAATACTCACTAAAGAATATGATTAATTAGCATAGATTTAAATACTCTGTCAAAGCAACTTCTTTTTAAGTTATAAAAGTATCAAGGATATTTCATTGAGTTTTTTAATCCTTTCTGAGGACTTCTTTCACCACCCCAACAGTAAAATGAGTCTTGAGGTGTGTTACATACCATCATTAAATTTCCCAATTTTCAGACCCATGTCCCAGTTTCTCCTTCCTGTGAAAAAGTTCCTCATTCTTTATCTCATCACCGTGTCTAGGGAAGGACCATTGTTTCTCTCCTTCCTGTCACTGCCAAAAGTCTCGCGAGAGCATCTACATCCCCTGCCGCCTTCTTACCCCCGAAGGCCCCCTCAGTGTCCTCCACTGTCACTGTGTTGAACACCCTCTCTTGAAGGGCATGGGTTTCCTTGTCTACCCAAGCGCGTGGCCTTTGCTAGGGTCGCACCGTCTCACCCCCTCCCTGTCACCTACCCCTTCTGACAGTCCCTCGGGGAGCGTGTGAGCTGAGAACCCCTCAGTCCTCTTTCTTCCTCTCTGGGACAAAGGAGACTTTGAATTATCTTCTGAGAGGATTCCAGGATTCAGATCCAAATGAAACAGTTCTAACTGAACAAACAAAAAGTTAACCGCCTGTGTTTGAGTATGTGACTGGAGTTTTGGGTAGAACTATAGTGAAACATTTCTTTTTTTTTTTTTTTCTTTTTTATGGAATTTGTTGGAATGACACGGGTTAATTATAAAAGTTTCAAGTGTACAGTCCAGTGGCGCATCATCTGTATATTGTATTGTGTGTTCGCCTCCCCAGGCCAAGCCCCCTTCCATCACCGTGTGCCTCCCATACCCTCTTCCACCTCCCCCGACCCCAAAACATTTCTAGTTAGACAAGCAAACACAAATGTTAAACAGCCTGCACTTTGAATAGGTGACTGAGGTTTTATGTAGAAATTTAATTTTTATTACATCCTACTACATAGCGTGACCAAATATACATGTAGCACTAGCAGATCACCTTAGCAATGAGTGTATCACTTAAGGTCCTGTGAAGGCCTAATGAAAAGAATAGCATAGGCTTGGAAAAGCCAAAGAACTTACATGTACGACTCAAGGACATGAACTAAGGGGGGAGGGGATAACGGGAGGAAAAAACCAGGACAACTGTAATACCATAATCAATAAAATTTACTTAAAAAACTCAAACTGAAGGCCTAAAGGAATTTTGCTGTGCCTCCCCTTTCTGGAACTCTGTTAACCTGTAGTTTTTTATCCCATGTGCAGCCTCAGAGCAGGGATTTAAACTGCTTGTATCTGTGATCTGGACAAGTTGCCTGCAGCCAACTTCCTGTTGAAAATCTCTGCCTTTCCCTGAGGTCATTTTTAGACCTCGCAGTTGTATTGGAAACATAGCAACTGTGCCTCAGACTCCATGGTTACACAGGAAACAAGCTCTAAATAATCAGAGGTCTTCAGTGCAGTCCAGTCGAGTTTATGCTAGTAACAGATTTTCATTGCTTCCCTTTCAACATGTGCAAGTTAGAAAGGGGCAGATTTTAGCCAACTGTGAAGGGAAGGGATTTATCATAATTAGAGTTCGTTAACAATTAGAATGGGCTCTCAAAACAACAGAAATGTGCTGGTAAACACTGCGTGACTCTGTTTAAGGAGTGTCGTTGCAGGACCTGCTGCAGTTGGTTGGATTACAGGGCCGTGAAGCCCCTGTGAATTTACTGGGGAGTGAGGTTATCAAATTGCAGTCACCCTCAGTGTAGAGGAGCGAGCAGTCTAATCTTAGAAGAGGAAGTGGAAGGGATTTAGGTTTCTTTCCAGATATAGGGCTGCTTTGCTTGTGAGCTTGAACAACTTTTTACTTGGATCTCTGTTTCCAACTCTTTAAGATCAGAATATTATTCCTCTACGTCCACAAGGGAAAGTATTTTTTTATCTGGTTATGCATTCAACAGATGTTAATTAAGCACTTAACTAAGTTGGAAAGCATGATTAGGTCATGTTGGGGATACGAAACCGCTGTAAAGGATGGATACTCTGGTTACCCCCAGCTTACCGGTGAGAAAACCAAAGCCCAGAAAAGCCGAGCAAATTCTCTGCAGTTGAGCAGCCATTTGGTGGCAGGGGTGGACTTCAGTCCAAGGCCGTCTGCTTGCAGCCTGTGCTGGCAGGCCTGGGTGCTGCCTTGTTCCCGCTCGAGCTGGAATGTAAAGTTTGTGCTTCTTGGGAATATAAGAGCATGTACTCAGAACCTGTTCTTCACTTTTTTTACTTCACAGACATGTCACAGATCTAAACAACAGGGATGCAATTACTATACATCAGCCATGTCTTCTACATTGACAAAATCCGTCTCATTAATGACAATCAGCCATCCTGGATTGGACAGTGAGTATACACTTTTGTAAAAAATTAAGTCTTACTTATTTTTAACCCTTTTTCTGTCAATTTTCTCACCTTAAGAACTTTATTTTGCAATAATTTTAGACTTTAGGATTAGTTGCAAAAACAATACAAAGAATCACCATGTATTCACCTGGGGTCCCCAAATGTTAACAGACATCATGCTCTTACATCTCTTGTTTTACCACAGAGCAATTATCCAGATTTTAACCAGTGTTAGTTTTCTGAGCTCTTCAAAAATGTCAAGTCCACGAAGGACAAAGAAAGACTGAGATGCTGCATTTTGGTTAAGTGAGTCTGGTTAAGGGGCTTCCATCAGAAACTTTACTGCCACTGCGTGCAAGTTCAGGGTCCACTGGCTCTGAGGTTTTATAGAGTCCGGCCATAAACACAGGGCATGTGCAAACGAAAGATACTCAGAAATATATTTGTATCGGATGCAAATATTTGTCACAGAAAGGCAGCTTGTTTCTTTGGGAAACCACCCTTTTTTGCATTGTTTTTAAAATGCTGCATTTTTTTTTAATGAGTTGTCAGTGTAAGATCTCGATGTAAAAGACTTACATTCTCAACAAAGGCAAAGTGATGCATTACATTCTTTGCCGAAAGACCAGGTATTCAGGAGGCTGAAGCAAAGGGAGCACAAAGCTCCTGCTGTTTCTGGAGTTTCCTCAGTGTCCCCGGACAAAACCCCCGTTAAAAGGGTCAGGGCCAGAAGTCGCGGCCCTGCCTCAGCGGGATGTTCCGTTCCCAGCCATGACTCGCTGGAGGCCTGTTCTTTTCAATTCCCACTGTGGCGTTAGGACATGTTGGCCAATTCTGTTAACTTTGTTCTCCTTTTCACGTGATTACTACCTCAAATACAGACCTGGCCTGTGTGACTAGAGGTGCCTAATGTCACTTGTTCTCACAGGTACAGGCATAACCTCATGGAACCATCACAGAAATAGCTTTTCCTCCTTCCTGCTTTTGTTGGGGTTTGGGTTTTGTTTTGATTTGGCTTTGGTTTAGAGGTTTTATTGGTACAGAATTAAAATTATTGTAACAAAATCGTTCATAAAGGATTTGATGGGCCTGGAGGGCCAAAGACAGGCAAGAAAGAACCCTTCAGTGAGCCGTGTTGGCTCTCCGTACCCTCCTTCCAGGACCAGCAAGTGCGGTGGCCTGGCGGGGACTCTGCTCCAACGGCAGCAAATACCCAACGCCGACAGACTGTGTCCCAGAGAGAGCTCTTTTTCCTATATTTTGTCACACATTCTCTTGCCTTGTGCATGAAATACTTCATTATTTTTCCCAAAAAAAGCAAGATGGTTTTTACTGTGTTTTCAGTTGCTAGCCAAACACTATAAATAATGTGGCCAACTCCCAAGAAACACTGCCCTTGGGCGCCGGGGGGCTGGCGCCCGGAGCTGTGGCTCCGCCGCTGGGGAGGCCCGCGCTCGGCTCGGCTCGGCTCGGCTCGGCTCGGGAGACTGGCTGCTCTCGGAGCAGGGCACTAAGTAAGCGCGCAGTCCTCCTGTTAAAGTCAGGCGCCTTCATTCTGATTCCCAGCGTTGCCTTCTAGGCAGGTTTGGAGGGGAGGCCATGAGGTCGTTGACTAGCCCCACTTCTGTCCCTGAGTCAGCATATACTCTCACCGGAGGACAGTCACCTGTAACGACGCTGTTTCTCCTGAGTCCCTCCCCTTGTACAGTTAAGTTCATTTTCCCAACTGTACTTTTTATTTTGCACTGGAAACATGGTAAATTCTTTGGTAGGTGTAAAAAGCCCGGCCACTGAACAGGAGACTAAAAGTTTTGTTTTGTGTGCTGTGCTTTTACGCATCAGAATTAACTGGATAGTTCTTGATTTGCCACAGACCCAAATCTCCAGTCCCAGATCACTTGAATGCTGTGTGATTGTCTGTGGCCATGGACTTCCTAGCCAAAACTCTCATGATTTTATAGCCTAAAACGTTTGATACGCTTCACGTATTTTAACTTGTGTTTTATCGTAAGCACACCTAGTGCCTGTGGGAGCTTGGGTTAGACACTGGAACCCTTTGCCACGATTGTTTGAACTATTAAACAGCAATAATAATGTGATAAGGCTTACATGTGAATTTATTTAAAGTCCTCAGCGTATTTCCCAGCTTATGATAAGGACTTGCTATCACAAGGGAGGGAGGGAGGGAGTTCCAGACCAGAGCCCAGGCCCGATTTTCTCTGACCAGTTTCAGGAGTGAGAAGGAAGCGAGGACAGTGTCCCTCATTTCCTTCAAGTGGCTGTGTTCAGTGCACACCCTTGTCTAGAAACAGAATACTTTCTAAAATCAATCCCCCGTCACTACTTTCCAGCTGGTACCTGTGCTCTATCTTCTTCCTTTAAAGAAATTAGCTGCTTCTCCCACAGTCTCACACTGAAGCGTTTCTGAGAACATACTGGGCTGCTGTCTGGGATGTCCTGTGTCCTTTGCTAGATTGGAAAAACAGACAAGCTCCTAGCGCTATTTCTAAGCTGGGATCTGTTGCAAAAATCCGTTGATATAGAGGAAAATACTGAGTAAAGGTGGTGACGAAAATATTTCTCTGTCATTTTCTGGGGTGTAGAGTAGACGGGCAGTAGCGTACTGAGGAACCCCAGTGGGCGGGAACACGTCCTGACTCACAGCCTGGGTCTGCCGTGCCCCTGGGCGGAACATGGTGGAGGCATCCTGCCGGCTCCTTCTGGAGGGTCAGAGCGGCCCTGACACCGCCTGCGTCACGTGGGGAAATGCCGGGGGGCGGAGGGGGGGCCCTCACCAGCTGCCGCCCTGGGCAGTGCGTTTGCCTCATCCCTCCCTCTTGCCGCAGAGAGGGCTGGGCGGAGGCGCCCAGCCTGCCGGGGCACTTACAACGTTTCCATTTAGAATCGAAGACTAAAGGTCGCTTTTGTCCTACAGAGTAATTCAGTTTTTAAACTTTTCCTTGCTTGTACCCAGAAGATGCCTACAAACTGGAGAGAAGTTGCTTGATCGATTCGATCCCTGGAAGAACCGTAGCATGTTAGCGGGGACAATGTTAAAAGGAGAGTTGGATCCGTGAGATGTTTTAATTTCACAGGTTTCTTTAATGAATTTTGTTTCCCCCTTCTTTTTGCTTGGTTGTCACACAGACTGGTGCTGGCGAGGGGCACTTGTCCTTGGGGTCAGTTGTATGCCCTCTCTCCTTGTGTGGGAATTGGCCGGGTTCCGTATTCCAACCTTGATGGGAACACTGGCTGGTAATTGGATCGTTTTCATGAGCCTGTGAAAGCGAAGTTGATCTTGAGAGCTGAACTGTGCCGTTTACTATGTAATAAGCACCAGATCTAAAAAGATAAACAATCCACATGGCCACAGATCATGGTGCGCCTCTGGAAAGTTATGCATTGGTGCTGATGAGGATATTTTATCTCTACTTTCTCTGCTATTTTCTCTCTTTTTTTAAAACTGTGGACAGTGGGATGAGAATTTATCAGAATACATGCGTTTTCTTACAGTGCTTTTAGTTGGAAAAGATAACATGGACAGATATTTGAGGACATAAATTTAGCCAGGCAAATAGTTTCTCCACTGGTCCTTTGGTTAAATTGCAAGGCTCAAATATATACATAGTTTTAAAGTATGTGACATACTACATATATTATCTACATATGCTTTAATTTAGGGATAAGTAATACCAGCATTGAGACCAAAAGAAAACTAGGAATTTGCTAAGTGGATTAGTATGTGCAGAGCAGGGCAGAGGGATTCGGGCTTCTTATCTGAGGGCAGTGGAGTGATTTCAAGTTGATTAAATTGATTCATTAATTGAGTGAAACACTCCGTGCAGACCGCACTGAAGAACGTGTTGGGTAGGAGAGGCGCGCAGAGCATTGGAAAGCTGTCGCAGGATTCAGGTGAGAGTGCTTGGTGGCCTGAGCTGGGGCCGAGAGCAGTGGCGGCAGGGAGAAGCTGATGTCGAGAAAATTCTTGGAGACAAAATCCGAAGGACTGAGTGAGGTGTGATGTGAGGGTTCACATTTCTGCGTAGAATAATGAGTTAGATTTCGGTGCCACCCAGGCAAGTGAAAGGGGTATAGGTGGAGGAGCAGGTCTGGAGGAAAGACAGGTTAACTCGGTCCCTTTGAGCTGCCTGCGGGATACCCACCCCCCGTCGTGAGCTCGAAGGGCAGACCTGGCCTGAAGGTAGAGGTGGTGAGTCACCCGTGAATGTCGTGTGTAGACTGCAGTTAAGGGGAGGGAGTGAACGAGGAGATTTGGGGTGAGGAGGAAGAGAGCCAGATGTAGCTTTACTTTGAAGGGGAAAAAGACCCCAACAAAACTCCAGTTAAAAATTATAACTATTAAAAGTAATTGACTTCTTGTTTCATAATCTAACAAGTACCTATTTGTTGTCTGACTTTTTAAAAGCTGCGTTAGAATTCTGCATATTCAGAAATAAAGGTGAAAATGTAAGTAAGTTGCATTGTTTGCCTGGATGGCCTTTGTGGGAACCGTAGGGGCGAGTGGGCTATTCTGTCCCCATGGGTTGGAGGTGCCTTTTGCCTCGTCCTGGTGCAGCCTGTGCCTGTTCTAACGACCCCCGTCAACCCACTTCTCAGCCCCGCAGCCGCCGCAGCCCGCGAGGCAGATCTCCTTCTCCTTCCGCATCTCTCCGCTCCTCCTTAAGTCTAAAGCTCTCTTTTCTCTTGGCTCTTCCCATTCCAGTGATGAGGAGGAGGAGCTGCAGTGTAAGTAAGCCACCCAGGTGTCAGCTGCTCCGCTGCGTCTGCCGGGCACTGAAAATGCTCCAGGCTTGGCACTAAGGAATGGTGTGGGGACTTTTATCCCCCTGCATGCTGTCATGTCTACACCATTTGTTGTCATGCTTTGCTTTGAAAATTAATTTGGTGAGGCAGTTTTTGTCTCCTGTGCACTGCATATGCTGATTAATCCAGTGGCGTGAGTCCAGGGCACGAAATGCTGTCCCAGGACACAGTACCTCCCAAGGCGCAAGCGATGAGCTCCCATCTCACCTCGTGCCCTCTGTCACACTTACTGAGTACGGATTTCACAGAACTTCCCGTTTCATAGTGTAATTTTCATTGTTCCTTGTTTTGCTTAGTCTCATGGGACAGACATCTAGGTGTCCACCCGTGCCATTTAAAAGCTAATGTTAAACTTTTTTCTTGTCACCTTTTCCTCCTACTTTCTTCTCTTGGAACTTTTTTTTCCCCAGTCCTTTTTTTTTAACACTGTGGGTTTCAGATGAATATGTCCTTACTTGATGGGACCTAGTTTAAGAATTTTATAAGGTGTCAGTCAGTTTTAGGAAACTTGGAAAGGAAGTGAATCCTTCCCTTTATGAAAATTAACTGTTTTCAGTTGTGCAGGATTTCTACAATATTCCAGGATTGTTATTTTTCATGGAAAAATTATTTGTAGTATAAAGTTAATGAATTGTCTTCATTTCATATAACTAATGAATCTCATGCAATTATGGTATCTACGTGATTGAGCACCCTAATTCTCTACTGCTTGCTGACGCTAAGTTTCAGCAATATTTATTTAATCATTGAATACTTAAATATTAAAATGGAATATTTAAGCACTATTAAACTCAAGGCAACATTTTTGCAGTGTTCTTAAAGGAAAGTAACTTACACACGATAACACAGTTTAATTTCCTTTTAAGTGGAGGTCTTACATGTTTAGTACTTTTTCACAATCAAAAGGTATTTGGGAAATAGGCAGACAATAAGATATCACTTTTTACCAGTTATAATAAGAGGTAAGTGGTGAAAATCCACATAACAACTTTGAGTGTTCAGAAAGTGTCAAGGCTGTTTCATCTCAACTTATTCATAATTCTGTGGGGTCAACATGGCAGATAAAACAAAGGTCCCAAGAGTATTTTTTTCTGCCACTAATAGAAAAATTATGGTGGACTCATAAAAGTATAGGAGCTTGAAGAAACCTTTGAATCATATCCAATATTCTTCGACATGCGTTCCTTAAACTCAGAAATACCAGTGAGAATTGGGGTGGGGGGGGCAGAGGAGGAAACTGAAGAGGTGGTTTTAGGGCCAAATAAATTTAGGAAACTCTGGTTTAAGCAGTTTTCAAAAGGTGATGTGTACGTTGCGAATTTGTAAGGCAGCGTTCACTATGCTGAGTTCACAGACTTGTTAACAGGTTAACCTTGGTGACAGGTTTTTTGGCTTCTGTCAGTATTTACACCATGGAAGTCACGTTGGCTGTTCTATCTTAGATGTTCCGAAGACCTGACCGCACTAGGAATTTCAGAGCCACGGTAGACTGATGGCTTTTCAGAACCAAGTCTAAAAGATCATAGTAAATGAAATAAAAATTTTTCAGCAGTGACAAAGTTGGAAACCCTTATAGGAGCCATAGATTCTCCCAGTGTTCAGTTATATGTACAGTTTTTACAGTTTCTAATTTACTCAACAAAAATCTACTCTTAGCCTGTCTTTGGCCAGGCTCTGTGCTGGTTGGTATTTTTATGGACTTTATTTTCAGCTTGTTCGTATTACGACCATGGTGACTTGCTAGGTAATTGCTCAAGTGTACAGCAGAGTCCAGGTAGCTTGTGAGAGCTTAATGCTGCTTTTACATTCAAGGCTCCGTTGGGTGGGAAAAGTTTTAAAGCCACTGATCTAAACCACATTTTGGGATTATTTTTTTGTTGGTTTGTTTTGTTAAAGCTAAGGCTTCTTGAGATTAAAGTGCTGATGATTTTATACCTAGACCTTGCAGAACTTGGGTGAGGGGGCAGGCCCCAGGTCTTAGTCTTGACGGGCTCTCACCTGCCCCTCTCAGCTGGCTGTTGTTACCAGGCATGATCAGTGAAATAGAAGAAGAGCCCCAAATAGGTAAAAGACAAACTGTATATAGAAAGCAGTCTTTTGAAGACTTCAGGTTTAAGTTTCGTATGCATTATTCCCACCTCTAGGCTATTTATAGTAATAACTACAATTTTGCATTTCTGTTCAGAATCTAGAACAATTTGGGGATTTAAGGGTTAAAAATAGTGGTGTCTCTTCTGTTTGTTCTACTTAGTATTATGGCCCTGCCACCTGCCTCAGCCTTAGTTTTAAGGACCCGCTTCAGGCTGTGGCCTGTGACTGCTCAGCCTGTGAGTCTGGTTCCAGCCGGGGAGGACCTGCCGGTCCTCAGCCCCTCCTCTCACAGAGAGGAGGTGAAGCCTGGGGGTTCGCCCCAGACTAGTGCCACGCCCAAGACCGCACGACAGGGGCGTCAGGAAAATAGCAGGTGCACATTCGCTCGATTTGCAGTGTAGAAAGAACTACCTGAAAGCAACATTTACAGAATATGGTACTTGATTTCCAATTTTATATTCTCCCTGTGACATCTCAGAGCAGTGGCCTGTGGGCACTGAACCTTTGCTGAGAACAAAAATTAAACATGTCTTCTGTTAGTTTGAACAATGGGAAAGAATCTTGCTTTAGGGTTTGTTTAGTTACTTGAATCCCAGATTAAACTTTTTTATTGGGAAATTTCACTCCCTGTCATAGCTCGTAATTTGAGGATTTCGGGTTTAATTTTTCTTCCACCAAACCTGTAGGAGGAGAAGGCCCCACGCACTGGCTTTCAAATGCTAGCTGTGCTTTATCTGTGTCACTGTAAACTTTTTAGGCATTTTCTCTGTCCTTCAGGCGCAGTCCTTCGATTCTAACGTTTGCTCTGCCGTTTTTGTTTTCTAGGCTCCCGGCCTTTCCACAGCGCCAGTGCTAATCTGACAGAAAGGTACCAGATACTTATTTGTTACTCGTCTTTCCCGAAGGGAAGTGAAGGAAATCCAGAATGTGCTATGGCATTTATAAGTAGACTAAGTTTATTGAGTTCCTTGGCGTCCTGCTTTCTCCCGTGATAAATCTGGAGTAACGGTCCGAAGTGGTTGATAATGAAGACTGGGTCCTTCCTACATGTCTTCAGTGCTTTGCCACTGTTACTCTGTACATTTTTCTAATGATAAAAATTGTTTGCATTTATTCACTTAAGAAACACTTCTAATTGACTTCATGAACTTCTGTACTCTTTGCCTCTGGGGATTTTTAATCCTTAAGTCTAACAACAATTTGTTTGAGAGAGAGAGAGAGAGAGAGAGAGAGAGATCAGAGTCCACCCCCCTGCCCCCGTGTTCTCTGGGGCTGCGTTCTAAGCCCCCTGTGGATGCCCGGCACTGGGACAGTACCCCACTCTGTATATACTATATTTTTTTCCTACACATACATATGAATGATAGCATTTAATTTATAAATTATGCACAGTAAGAGATTCACAGTAATAAAAGTAATATAATTATACCATACTGTAAGGAAAGTTACATGCATAAGGCCTTTCTCAAAGTCTCTTGCTGCACTGGACTCCCCCTTCCTGTGCTCATGCGAGAGGATAGCAGCGCCTTTGGCCACAGAACATGGCGATGTGCTGTGCTGTTCTCAAGCGATGCCGTATCAGGCTGTCCTTCTCTTATTGTGCCTCCCGTTTTCCTGTAAGTGTGTGAGGTGACTGCCTTGAAGCTAAAATACTGTGACAAAAATGGTTACAAAGAATTATATAGAAGGCGTTTTGATTTTTAAAATGTAACTTCTGCAGTCTTTTTTTTTTAAGTCCATCTTTGTATTTTTATTTAGTATAACAGAAGAGAGCTACAACTTCCTGCCACAGAGCCCCTCCAAGAAGGACATTGAAGGGAAGAGTGGAACGAAAGTCAGCCGCACTTTCAGCTACATCAAGAATAAAATGTCCAGCAGTAAAAAGAGCAAAGTAAGTACCCCCGTGGGCATTCCTCGTGACCCCTCAGGTCGGTCATCCGGAGGCTCCTGTTGCTGGCACAGCCTGCCTCCAAAAACTAGTGAGAGCATGAGGATGCGTGGGAATAAACTGGAAGAAACTCTCTGAAATGGCATATTAATTGGAGAAAAGTAACAAGAGGCAATACCACTAATTGAGTTTTCAGCACATGCTAAGAAGTCTTCATACGTTATCTTACATGTCTCCCTTTTGTAGGGGTGAGATACCTTCCCTGGGCACCTCTTGCCCCCCGTGTGGAAGCAGAGGTCCAGGTGCCGGCCTCACCGTGGTGCTGAGGGCAGTCAGCGGGTTTAAACGGCAGCGGCAGGAGGTTATGCCATGATCTGGGGATTGAAAATATTTGTATTTGGGTTTAGAGGTTAGGAAGGTGGTCCCACAGAAAATAACTTTTAAGTCAAACAGGAATTCTTAGACGTCTTCCTAGCTAGGAGCATGCTGCAGTGTATCCTCTGTAGCATCTGAGGTTCAAGTAACACATGTATGCATTTTTCTATAGTTATTAATTTGTCCATGCTCATTATAAGAATAATTAAAATACAAAAATAAGAAAAGAGAAATCAGCTGCAATAACCCCACACAGAGGTAACTGCTCTTTTAATCGGTTTTTAAAATGTATTTTAAAAAGAAAGAAGAGGAGATAACTCATTCTGACTACCAGTGCTGGGGAAAAACTCTGCCTCCCACGCCTGCAGCTTTGCATTTACCTCCCTCCCCTCACCGCCCCCCGCCAACCCCCGGTAAAGTAAGAAAAAAGTTAAAAATACTGGAAATTGGCTAAGGAGCTCTTGCCAAGGCATCACTGTGTGCACGTGCGTGTGTGTTGGGGGCATCCCTACACACAGGTGCATACAGACGCACGCACAGACACGCTCAGCAGTGAGGGAATGAACACACACCGAACTCTAAGAAGCCTGTTGTCAACGTGCACCTCCCCACACGCCTTGCCCACAACCCCCAGGACAGAACCACAGGCTTCCTAGGCCCTTGGTTAAGTGTGATGGTAGAAATACAGCCACCGTATTTTACTGGGTTTTGTAAATACGGCCTGTTTTAGAAAATGCTAGGTTTGCTCAGTGACCAGAGCCTGCTGCCAGAGTTGTTTTCTCCCTTCACTTCTCTGGCTGCAGTGCCGTCAGGGAAATGAGAGGACAATGAAGCAATCTAGCAAATGGTTTCTAGAATAATTACCTGTTAAGTATTAACGTCATAGCCTTGTTGTGTAAGTCAAAAATAAGGTTAAAGTGGGCAGGATGCATAGTGGTGTCCCGCATACGGGCAGCAAGGCCTAAAACTGAGCCTCATGCATTTTACTTACCACTTCAGGCTTGGACACAGGTTGGCATCAGCAAAAGAAAGTCTCCTGGGGAAGATCGCTATAAATTAGACAAATGCTATGAGTGACTTCTGCACTTTCAGTGTTCTGCTGGGTGCTAACCAGCTCATGTGCCGTCCCCTGAAAAATTGCATGGTCTGTTTGTATGACTTCAGAATGTTTTTAAACTGGAATATCCCCTTCAAACAAACCGTTAATTGGAAGATGAGTAAGCAAGTGGAGGTTCCCCTCTCTGTCAGCTCCCAGTGACAGTGACTTCCAGGGTCAGCGCGGAGGGAGGTCACCAGCCGTGGTTGCTGAGGTAGCGCAGGCAGGCCCGGACAGGATGATGGGATGATGTGAGGCTGAACTTAGGTCCTGGAACCTGACCTTTAAAAGTCATCCGGGCCTCCTGAGTTTACAGACTGCAGCACAAAGCTGTGCGCTGCAGGGCACAGAACTAGAGATACTAAGGCAGGGCCTCGTGTGGTCTGACTCCCAGCAAGTAGTGCTCTTCCAGGCTCACCCTTCCACAAAATCTGCTACTGAACGGTAACTTTTTCTTTTTAACTCCTTTGATGACCTCAGAGGGCTGTAGCTTTGCTAGTGGAGGCAGGGGTGGCGGTGTGGAGAGAAAGGGCAGGAGAAAAGAAGGTAGTTTGTGTGGGAGGGAAGTCTGTCAGCACTGGCAGAAACAGTTTCGGTTGACCTCTTATCAAAATGACAACATTCTTTTGCAATGAGATGGTTCCTCTTTCCCTCTTGTCTTTAAGATTTGGCCTTTGGGGGCCCATGCTGTCTCTAGCAGTAGAAATTCTCAGAAAATTGCAAGTCTGTAACCCTAGACTATGGTCTGTTGCGTAGGCAGGTGTTCATAGTACCCCGTGGCCAAATACATTAAAGACCAAATACATTAATAACATTTAAGAGTCCCCTTCCATAATTGTTACTAGCTAACTTTAAATTAACAATTTTTTTAGAACCTCCAAAAGAATAGCTTGGCTTTTGTCAATGTACCAAAAGAAATAAATGAAAATTTCCTTAGTGTGATGAAACAAACTCAACTGATTCCATAGCTATTGAATAATTTCACTTCTCTATAATGTTAAAGATTGGGAATGCTTTTTTTTATGAAAATGATACCCTTTTTACTTTTCAATTGTTTGTTAAAGAGATACTATTAGAGCTCATCTAATCTGCTTTTTTTATTTATTGTAAATGTAATCATTCCTACTTTTTTAAAAGGAAAAGTTTCAGCATTTACTGAAGATTATATTAAATCACCACCTCTAATTCTTACAGTCTTCAGGAATGGTTTGGAAATTTCTACTTTACTTACAATTAAGTATGCTGTGTAGTCATATATAATAAAGTAATTTGTAGTTATTAACTGACATATACTACAGTTGATACGTTAATTGTTATGTTAATTTATAATATGTGATAATAAACAATTGTTAAATTATACTCAGAGAAGCCCAAAGCCAGCCACAAGGTGGCAAATGGATTCACATTCCTGGATAAAATAGTTTGTCTGTAGCATCGGCCTGTGTATGTGTGGGATTTGAGAAATTGAGACTACCCCTTCGCATGTCCTTTTAATAATTATCAATAACTGGCATGAGTTAGTAGATAAATATATTGGACATGTTTTTAAAGGGGAGAACCTAAACAGGAAGTATAACCGGAAGGCTGATAGTTTGCTTTTGTCTAGTTTTGTACTTTTGATAGAGAGTACTGTTTCCTGCTGAAGGGAGGTTGCTCACCACAGCGTTCAAACAACAATCGATGTGCACAGTGTTCTCCTGGGTGGAGAGAGTGGAGGGGCCCTCTCTAGACCAGCCCCTCACCCTGGTTTTCTTTTTCCAGAGCTCTCCCCTTTTCAGACAACCAGGAGATGGTTAGACATGTTTTAGACAAGTTCTTAATCTCATTCATTCTTTGATTAGAAATCTGCAAATGACAGTTGCTTCATCACAACCTGTTTCACATTTTAATTCCTTGTCTAAAACGGTAGATTTTAGAAGCATGAGAAGTTATTCTTGTTCATAGCGTCCTTGGGTAGTTGTTCTCTGCACCTTCCCCTTTAAACACGTCCTGCTTCCACTTCCCCGCACGCAGCGCAAGCGTCCTGGCTGTTGTTAAACACGGGAAAGTCAGATTTCAGGAAACAGCCCCTCACCACCTAATGTGGGCCACTGCGCTAGAAAATTTCCTGGGAAGCGCACTGCTTTTTCTAAAATGAGGTGCGTGGTTTTAAATAGGTAAGATGTGCTCCCTAGCTTCCAGTGTTTTAAAAGTGGTTTCAGTCCTTGCGAGGGGTCCCAGCTTGCAACTGAAGCACTGTCCACACACAGCATGTTTTGGGGAATGAGTTTTGTTTCATTTCCTGTGTCCTCTGTAACTAGGGTAGTTGGGTTTACTGTGCAGGCAGCAAGCTTGTGTTGAGGAAACAAGGAGCCTCAGCCCTCCCTCCTCTCCTTTCTCAACCAGTCTCTGGCTTCCTCTCAGGGTTTCTCTACCGTTTCCCTGATGGCGGCAGGGAGCTGCCAGGCGCTGCCCTGCCGGCATGAGCCCCGCCTTCCATGAGAGCACGTTTCCTGGCATGGGGGTCAGTCATGTCAGTAAAATGGGGTCGGTTTCATGAAGTGCCCCTCATAACAGTGAAATTCATAGGACCAAAACATGGGGAGGAGGTAAGAGCTTGGCTTCTCTAAAGCGCTCAGTTCTAGTAAATGGGGAGAGGGAGAGCGGCGTTTATTGCTTTGTTCAGTGTGTATTCTTGGGAGGGTTGCTGTGGGTCATTTCAAAGGACGAGGATGTTACTGGTTTATCTGTTCAGACTTGAAGACGGTTGCACGGCTGGAGAGAGCGAGCCGCCGGGGACGTGTTTCGCTCATGGAGCGTGCACTAGCTTTCTTGAGCAAGAAGTCAGAGGCTTTTCAGTTGAACATTTTACATCTGGAAAAGCCTTCAGTAATATTTAGTGAAAAGAAAGAAATTACTTGAAAAACTCAATTTTTGTTACAGATTTTTATTAAGAGTTTTATGTGCTTTAGCGGTTACTAACTTCCACTGAGAACAGCTTCCTGTTTTGTTAAGTGAAGTATATTAGTTTTTCTCCCTTCCTCTCTTGTTACTTTTTTATAGTTGTAAAGTGTGGCAATTCAGTGCTTAGATTTTTATATGCCTTCTACTGAAGAGAGCTTTATGTGAATCATAGACTGAGCAAACATTCGTTGTTTCAGTTCTGAGTAGGAGGTTGGAGGAGCTGGGATCTGCTAATTGGTTGCTGTGTGACCTTTTATGAGTCAACAAACCTCTCCAGTTCTTGGCAGTAGAATGACATGCGGGCGGGGAGTGGGGGGCTGAGCTGTGGAGTCGGCCGGATCTGGCAATTGGATCCTAAGCCAAGCTTGGGCAATTGTTCATGTGCCGCCTTGAATGCAGCGTTATACATCTCTAAGCCTCAAACTCCTCAAATGTAAAATTGAGATAATAACTAGTACTTACTACTTCTTTGGGTTGTTAAGAGAAAATGCATGTAAGTTGCTTGTGATAGTGCTTGGCACATAGGAACTATTCAAAAAGTTTAGCTGCTGTTATCTTTATCTTCGCAGTTGTGAAATAGGAAGCTTAATGCCCACCCTACCTACTGCAGAGTTGTTGAATCAGATGAAATAATGTACGTGCAAAGCATTGATTCAGAATATAAGGGAGTTAGTAGTTGTCATTATCACCGACTTTGGGGTACTCGGTTTTCAGGAATTTTTTTAGAGTGCAATGATAGTATTATATTCCCTGGAAAATCGGCACCTCACAGTTAGTGATTATGACAACTACTAAATGCATTCTTCCTACCTCTGGGAATTGTAGTTCATGGTCCACTGGTTTGAAAGGAACTCATTAAGTTGATATTGATTAACCAGCCAAATGCTCTGCCTCACAGTGCTTCTAAAGAACCATTTATGGAAAGCATGGTTACACCTCACAATCCTAGCTGCCTAAGAGGAGCGTGCCCCCCAAATGTCCCTGACGGCTTTAGGTGTTTTATGGGGATCTAGCACTCATCACTGTTTATTAAGTTTTCAGAGTTTAAATTCCTCCTCCTCCCAATTTGAATATTGGGCCAAAGTTAACATCTGTGAACCTTGAACTTCTAATTAGTAAAAACTGAACATGTGTCCTTGGGGGGCACTTACTATTTCTGGCGAGGGTAAGGAAGGAGACCTCAGAGGCACACCTTCCACGAGAGTCGTGATCGGTGTGATTTTTCCTGCTGCTCAGTCGCCTTTCCTTTTGCCCAGGCTGATCCCAGAATGGCTGCTGGCCCATTGTCTGCTAGCTGCCAGCAGCAGGCCCTGAACTCCTCGCCTATTTGCTCTGTGGGCTGGGCTTTGGCATAGTGAGGAGGACCCTTGGCCCCTCTATACACCTCCTTCTCTCACATTAGGAGCCTCTTTCCGGTGTCTCAGACAGTGTCTCTAACTTCTGTTCAAAGCAGTCGCCAACCATGTTGACCACATGCTGTCTGGGTTGCACAGGGAACAGGAAGGCCTGCTGGTGTTCAATTAATTGTCGATTGTTGTCTTTGGCAGGAAAAGGAAAAAGAGAAAGATAAAACAAAGGAGAAGGAGAAGGATTCCAAAGACAAGGAGAAGGACAAGAAGAACCTCAACGGTCACTCCTTCAGTGCCATGCCTGTTGTGGGTCCGATCAGCTGCAGCCAGTGCGCGAAGCCTTTCACCAACAAAGACGCCTACACTTGTGCAAGTAAGAGACGTGCTGCTTCCGCTCTTGTCTCAGGGGAGCTCGTTTCTCGTTTCCTGTCCATCCCACCCCTTATCTCTTCCTTGTTTTGGGGGAGAAGTAGCCCTTTTTGTACCTTTCTTGAAACATCATTGAAGGAAATCATGCTAGATGTGAAACGTAGAGCCTATGTGTTTTATTCTGAGAGCCCCAATTTCATACATTCTGTCCTGTTGTCCCTAAGCCACTGCCTAATCCAGACGTCTGTGACAGCATCAGAACGGTCTCAGGAGTGCAAGCCTCCAAGCCACCCAGCAGTCCTGTGTCAGGTCACGCGCACCCCTTTTTCTTCCTGGCACTTTGGCGTGTGCTTCGGCCATGCACCCACATCAGGCCGTGCAGACCGCCAAGGGAGAAGGCCGTCGTGCACAGGCGTGTTCCGCGTTGACCTATCGCTGATCTGCTGGAAGCATCTGAAAGCCAAGTCTGTTAACCGAGCATGGTTCCTGGTTTTGATAAGATGCTGCTCTAAGACAGCGGTCCGCTAACTGTTCCTGTCAACGACCAGATAGCACGTATCTTGGACTTGTGGCCACCGGCACTGAGTTCCACTAGGTCAGTGTGAAAGCAGCCATAGGCAGGACAGAAACCGACGAGCACGGCCGTTCCAGTGACACCTCATGTATGGACGGCGAGATTTGCCTTTTGCGTCCTTCTTCCGTGTCATGGCCTGTTAATCTTTTACATTTTTTTCAGCCATTTAAAAATACTGGTAGCGCATGGGCCATTCAAAAACAGGCTCCAGGCCAGCCTGGACCCGCACGCACTGATTTGCAGACCCCTGAGCCAAGACATTACATCTAGAAATTTTGTCGCACAGGTAGACAGGGGTCGTATTTGTAGCACACACCCGGCGAGGTGAGGGGACTCCTGTGGTCGGAGGCGCACAGCCCGCAGGCCGGCCGCCCCGGGCCCGGCCCCCGCGGGTGACGGCAGTCCGCCTCGCGCTGTGCCTGGACCTGCCTCAGACCAGTGAGGGCCCGACTCAGGCTCCAAGCAGCGCTTCGCAGACTGTGGGGTCAGGACGTTGTTTTGTGTTCAGTCATTTGTGTGCAGTGTCCCAGGGATTTGTTACTAGAAATAGTTTGCTTTTTGAAATAGGAAATTGCTAAAAGTTTACCTGAGCAGATGAAAAGTTACTACAATAATAGTTTCCAGTCTGTGCATTCTTAAGTAGAAGGCAAGGGAGGAGTTGCAGCTGACAGCCCGCAGCCTATCCTATCTGTGCTGCAGCTATTGTGACTTTTAAAGGACTGGCTGTATCGCTTCTTGTAAAATGACTTTTATGGACATACTATACCTCCAGTGTTGCCTGCTGCCCTATTTGCTTTACTGTCCTATTTGCTTTACTGTCCTATTTAAAAAACAAAACCCAAAACCCTCCGGGGACTCTCATCTAAATCATCATGCATCCTTGCAGCAAGTATTCACACACACTTGTCCTCCTTCGTTTGTGCCTCACCAGCAAACAGAGCTCCAGCGTCATAAGCCTTATGTGACCTCCAGGAACAAGAGACCGCCACTGCCCAGCACCCCAAGCGTTTGTCGTGGAGCCCGGTCCGAGGGGCCGGGCCCAGGACACCCACCGGAACGTCTCCAGCGTGGTGTCTTGGCGGCTGGACATAGCCAGCCTCGCGGGAGCGGGATGCCTCGGTTGCTCAGGGCGGTCGTCAGCAAGCTCTTTTCTGTATGTTCGTCTGTCATCAAAATATGGTTAGGCTTCTCACACAGGGTTATATATGTAACATAAAAGTTACATGGGTGTCCTGTACTTCCCGTACAGAGAACTCGTTTTGGGACTGAGAGCAGTCAGTTTCGCCATTTCCTTGTTTCCTGGTTAGTTATTCATCTTGTTATTTGTACTTACTGTCTTAGAATCGTAGTTTCTTGGCAGGACTTCGTGTTAAGTCTCTTCTTCCCTCTAGAAACTCCCATGACACAGATAGTGTGACGCTGCTTAACGTAAAGGCTGAGGGAGGCGCCAGCATATCCATCTATACTTTTACTCCATTTCTCTTTTCAGTCCATATGAACAAGAGCTGGAAAACTTCCCTCTTGTGTTCCAGAGAGTCATTTTGTGAACCCCTCCTGCCAGGTGCCTATTCTCCTTGCGGGGAGTGCTGGTCTTGGAGAAAAACAGGGAGAGATCCTGTTTCTTGATTGGCAGTATGAACTTGGTAGTCAAGGAACTTCATCAGTAAAGCAGACTGAACATCATCTCTCTGCTATAAAACAGAAAAATGTTTGATAAAATACATCCTTTAAAAAACCTAATAACATAACTGAGCCTGCAGAAAGGAAAGTACCTGAGGGAATTCAATCAAAGCAGTAAGGAGCATCCCCCTCAATTGGGGACAGGGTAGGTGGCTTCCAGTCGCATAGTGGGAGCTGGAACTGAGCCCCTGAGTACACCGAGAGTTCTAAAGACTGACGTTCATGCTGAAGGACCTAGAAAACCCCCACCCCCTGGCCATTCGGAAGCAGCAAGGGAACAGGACCCTGCATGAGAATCCCGCACCCCATATGAAACCTGGAGTTAAAATTTATACCCTCCATGTATGCGGGAGTCCCCAGCTAAAAAATGGTCACTAGAGGTTTCGTGGAATCCCAGTCTCGGGTCGAAGAAGTCCACAGGGATCGCAGCTGAAGCAAACGCAGAACTGCACCATAGGGGGGTCACCTTGATGGAACAGGGAGGGCGTCGGGGTTCCCCACCGGGGGGAAACAGTCCGAGAAAGCTGAGGCTGAGCTCACGACAAAAACTGCACGGACAACGTGCACCGAAGTAAACCGCCATGAGGAAGCCCAAGGCCCCGCCATGAGGAAACCGCCAGGGCCCAAGCAAGAGGAGATGTTGAGAATTATTAAAAGGTTAAAATGAATAGGATCCCTAGTGAAAGAACAGGGCATACAACTAAGGTGTAGATTTAAACAATAACTGAGTAAAACTTCAAGAATAAAAACAAGTCCATTGAAGGATCTTCATGGAGATTTCTCACGTGTTTCAGTGTTCTGCTTCATCAGGGGGCTGTTCTGATTTATAGCTTAAAAAAGGAGGAAATGGCTTTCCCTGTGTCACGTGGTTTAGTTAGGGGCGAGTTGGGCGCACAAGCCAGGGAATCCTGATAACTTCGGACAGGGTTTGTATTTTCATGTTTAATTATCGGTAATTTTGCCCTTGAGGTTTTTTTAAATTTTCCTGAACTCTTCAAGGTACTGTGTTTGGTATTGTGATTCATTCAAAAGTCATTTGTTAGCAAATATTTATGGAGCAGCAGTATATGCCAGGTGCCTTTTTTTTCTTTTTTGAGGGTAGGTGACATCTAACTGTGTGTGAATTAAAGGTGTACAGTGTGTTAATTTGAGACATTTATAAAGGTAATATGATCGCCACTGCAGCGGTGTTTAGCACCTCTTATCACATCCCACAGTTATCCTTTCTTTTTAGTGGTTGGAGTAATTAGAGGCTCCTTTCTCAAGTTGCTTACACAGCGGCTTATAAAAAGAGGCCTCAAAGTATAATCCTCGGTACTTACTCATTGCAGCCTTATTCATAGTGTGGAAAAATATAATCTATTCATTAGATGGAATACTGGGCCGATCTAATGAGAAGAGGATAGCTCAAGGGTCAGCAAATGTTTTTGAAAAGGAACTGATAGCAGCATGTTGGGCTTTGTAGCAGGAAAGCAACCACAGACAAGACAAGTAGTGACTGTGGCTGTGTCCCAGTAAAACTGTGTCCACAAATGGAGATGGGCCAAAGTCGGCCCACGGGCCACACTTTGCAGCCACTGGGATCAGATCTATAGGTACAGACAAGATGTCGTAGACATTAGGATGAGTTCAAAAGACCATAAGTAGAATTGTATGTTTTCCACTCTGTAGAAAACAAGTAAACAGTAATTGTTTATGTAAATAGACAAGACTGTCTAGAAGGATATACACCAACGCATTAATACTTTGAAGATTAGGAAAGGAGAGATTGAAGGAGACTAAGTTTTTATTTTATAGTTCTGTGTCATTCGCATTAACGCAGTCCCAGTACATTGTTTGAGTAAAAACAAAACGCGAACCTTGGAGCACTGATAGTTTCTGAAGTTTGTCTGGTGGTCAGCTGGTGTCTGATTCAGGAACTTAGTGACGAAGAGCAAAATTACCCCGGGCGGGCAGACAGCCAGCTTGGCAGAGGCATGGGGAAGGTGGCTGTGTCGCTGCCACTGTCACCGACAGCACCGCCCTGGCGAGAAGCAGAGGAACTGATTCTGCCGACTCCCGGTCCTGCGTTGTGGTGTGTGAGCCGCAGGTCTGGGGACAAAAGAGATGGGCAACCTGCTTGGAAGACCTAAAGGATGTTATTCTTTTTCTCCGTGCTGTCAACAGCAGTGGGCTTACGAGCCGTTCGCTTATGGTTGTAGTGAAGGGACGGCTCTCCTCACGACCAGCTCCAGGCAGCTTTTCAATTTAAATTCAGGTTGGAAAGAGCTGTCCCATTTATGTTGCTGTGTTTCGTCTCAGACTGGCCATCGGTTTTTGTATATGGGTTTTTTCTAGGTTAAAACAGTTCAATTTTCTCTTTTTGGCTGTGTTAAGCATTAGTCCAATTAACGACTCAGAATTAAACCTGCAGCTGGCATGGGATTGATCTGTCAGAGAGCAAAAGTGCAGTATAGTGTAGGAGAGGTTTGTGAGGGACAGTGTGCTTAGCCTGCCACTTACAGAAGGAAGAGGGGAAATAGCAAGGCTTGAGAGGAGAGGAAGAACGTGTGTATAGTCATCTTCCAAAGAAGCCGAAGTACTGAAGTAGGTGGCTGAGTCTCTCCAGCGTCCTGAAGAACAGAGCCTGCAGGGAGTGAGTGTGTGAAGTGCCGTCTGTTATCTTGGTCAGAAGTGGAAAATATGAGTAATTTGGACTCAGAATCTTTTTTCCCTTCCCTCCATCCCCTGTCATGTCCAGGGTCTTCCCAGGAGTCTCAGGAAGTGTAGCATCCTTTATGTGGACTAGCTAGAAGTGGGCACGGTCCCCTACCGTAGGAATAGCAAAGAGCAGAGCCTCTGAGAGAGGTCCTTTGTAGCCTGTCCCTGGGGGCGTGGGGGATGACAGAGAAAGCAGACCAAAGCCCCGCGTCAGGACCACCTCGAGTAATTTAATTCAGGAGGAGCCTGGCAGGTTCTTTCAGGATCGGGGCGCTTTAATGGGGAAAGGAGAGGCGTGTCTTTCCAATTCCTCTTTCTTCGGGTGTGGGAAGCTTCCCGTGGGCAGTCAGCTGTTCTTTGCAGCTGCCACACATAGTGTGGTCTTTGGAATGCTTGGCGGAATCCTTCAGAGGAATCTGTTGTGTTTGGGCTTTTGGATCTGGCCAGTGGTTCTGTTCTGTTTGCTTTAAGCAGATGTAAAATGATATTGCGATTATTGTTGATTCATTTTCTGTTGTGTTAGCAGCTTCTGAGTACTTTTGCGGTAGGCTGTTTCTCTTGATTAAAAAAAACAAACAAGTGGACCAGCTGCAGTCTAAGTAGGAAACATAAGAGTTTAAAATGTGTGTGTTGTTTTGGTTTTGCTTTGGGTTTTATCTGGAAAGACAGCTCTCTAAATAGATGTTTTCTGACATTTTGAGTACATTCCTTATATGAAATAGTAAGATACATATAATTGATTAAAGAAATTTGTTGTTGAGAGAAAAGAAGAAAAAAGAGCCTCATCACTAAAGTCAATTCTTATTTAAGCAGGGAGTACTTTTGTTTTGTTCTAATTAACTGAATTTTATTTATTCTCTTTCAAATATACCAAATATAAAAATACAGGTTGAAGTTTTAGTATCTGAACTTGATGATGATCCCTACCCACAATACAGGAAAAGTAAATGTTTCTACATGTTTCATCTCACGCTAGCATTTTGTTTAATTTTTGTTTACCAGTGTTCTTGTGAAAAGTACTGTTATATGAGCACTTCAGCTAAGATGATTTGGCTGTTTTTTGTGGCTTTCCTCTTGCTCTTCACATCAGCACTGTGGTTATTACACCGTTTACCAAGAAATCTTCCATGCCTTGGTATCTAACTCTGTGTGGCCAGACCAGGCAATGCCCCACACTCCCCAAAGATGTTTAACAAGAATTTGCAAAAAGAACTTTGGAACATGCATATCTAAATTGCGTGTACTTAAGTGTGTTTTGTTGTCTATGCTGTGTCAGTGCGCTTGGTTAGGTTTGCAATGATAGGAGGAAGTCGCACCTTCCTGTCCTGAAATACAGTAATTCTTTAACCTGTATCTGTTAAGAAGGATCAGAAACTTTTGGTGAGATCGGTTTTGCTGCTCAGATCTGTGTCTAGTAAGCAGAATAATTAGAACTTTCGAGCCTGCGGCCTAATGATCAGTGGACTGAGGTATCAGAAAATCTTCTCCTCCAGAGCTCTGACTGGGTAGAACTCCAGGCAGATCCTTCCCTTAGTGGGCAGTTCTGGCATATTCGTGCCCTTCTGTAATTGCAGCTCAGTTTGGCCTGACCACACCCCTTAACGCTTATAATGCTGGTTTTCTCCAGCTAGTCTCACTAATGGATTGTTGTATTTTCCTGCTGGGAGAAAACGAATGTACAGTACCTAACAGTTCACCAAAGATTTGAGTTGGTTGATGGCAAAGGTTAAAGAGAAAAAAAGCTACAACAAATAGATGATAGTCCCCGTCCTGTGGGGTTTCCTTTCTTTTGTTTGTTGCTGCCTTCTGGTGACAAAATAAGTTGAAGTCTGGGTTGTTTGCCCTTTAAGTTGGGAGGAATCTGATTGGGGGTTGGCCCTGTTCCCATAAACCTCTGTGCCAAGACTGCTTTGAATGAAGGCGTGTTGTTTACTGCTCTTAGGAAATCTTCTTCAGAAAAGTAAATAAGAGGCTAAATAATTCTTTGCCCTCCCTAACAACATGGTCTGGTTTGTGGCAGAGAGCTTGCAAATGTATTAAATGTGCCTCCGATTCTTGTGTTTTTGGTAATGGTCTGTTTTCCAAAACGGAGAATAAGGTGATGTCAGAGGGGCTGCAGTTTCTAAATCACCCACACACACCACTAAAACCGTCGCTGTGGCTGAGGCCAGGGCAGCATGGAAACAAGCTGAGTGGTTTTCAAGTAGATACTTGAGTATGTTAAGCAGATGTTCATGTAAAATACGTATCCCTAAGATTTGTGACCATATTATAGAACATAACGAAATTACTACTGGGTGGTGGGTTTGGGGACATATCTCAGAAAAGCAAATTTGTGTGAAAAGTTATTTACTAGAAGCACACTTTAAACATTATTTCTGCTTTTATGATTCATCAGTTGGAGTTGTCTTTTAAGTCTCAAACGTTGGCCCGCAAACTTGAAATATTGCGGAAGTCTGTTTAAAAGGAATAGCACCACTCCCTCAGAAATTGTCATCAATTAATTAATTTTCTGTAGGATTATGGAACTCATTGGGAGGAAAGAAACAGATGCAGCATGACTACGAGCCCTGCTCACAGTGTTGTGCTAGTTGCTCACTTGTGTACATCAGAATTAGTGGCAAATTCTCAAGCAGATCCACCCCTTCCGGTGTTGCCCACAGATGCCTAAAACGTTACCGATCTTCATTAAAATGAGAGAGAAAATGCATTTGTGTGATTGGAATATAAGATGGTAAAACCTAATTGAAAGTTCTTTTAACTTATCATCAATGTGATTTTTTTTTTTTTTTTAATAATAAGGAAATGTTTATAAAGAAATCTGTATAGCTCCCTGGCAGTCTGTTCCTGGAGGAGAAAACAGTGGAGGCAAGAATAGAGTTTGGATGGAAATCAAACCTCCCAGGCTCTTCCTCTTGCTGCCGTTGATAAAGGAACTTGGATGTCCCTTTTGGTTTATTAACAGTAGGAAAATGACCAGACTGTGAATTTCACCTGGGCCGAAACCAGAGGACGCTAGCTAGGTAGGAGGTGTTGATATGCCTGGCGATAAAAGGCCCAGAACAAAGCCTGATGCCACCTCCCCCTCCCCTCCACTGACAGAAGGAGACTCACCTGCCAGCCTCAGCCAGCGGGAACTCCTGGATTACCAAGCGCTTCAGGGGGCCCCACCCTTTTGGCATCTCTGGGCCACCCTGGAAGAGGATGAGTTGTCTTGGGCCACATACTAAACACACTGTGACACGTGATCACAAAACAAATCTCATAATGTTTTAAGTAAATATACGATTTTGTGTTGGGCCACATTCATAGGCATCCTGGGCCACATGTGGCCCCAGGGGCTACATGGTGGACACCCCTGAGGATGGGTCTTTCCTGGTGATAATTCAGATGACTTAGAAGTTGAAAACTCTTCTGCATCATGAACCTTATGGGACAGTCTAGTGGGATCTACTTCGAAAAATTATCCCTTTCTTCAAGAGATATAGTATAGCGTCTTAGAGAATCACAGACAGAAGGAACTTGGGGGAAAATGTGGTCTTTCCTTTCATTTTATAGATGAGGAAACAGACCTGTAGAGAAGGGACATGCATCGGGTCACATGAACTATTTAGCAGAGAGCCAGGACCCAAATCAAATTTAGTTTCATCGCTGTTCTTGTATTCCTTTGAAAAAGTTGTTGATATTTCACATACTGTAATGAAGGTTGCGTGGGGGCAGTTGGCTTTTGGGCAGAATAGACATCAGTCTGCAGTAGACGTGTGAATGGGGGCCATGAGCCAGGCCCTGCACCGAAGAGACTGACTTGAAGATTCAGCGGTAGGTGGAGGGCCCTGCCCTGCGGGAGCGCTCAGCGATAGTCCCAGTACATATGCGTGGCCACATTAGGGAAGAGATCTGTGGACCAAGTGGGCGTTGAAGAGGGAAGGGGAGAAGGCCTTTGGGGTCTGGGATTCTGTCAGTTTCCACCCTTGTATTGTCCCCTCCCCATCATCGCTCTGTCCCTCCACCCCCACCCCACCCCACCCCATTCCTATGCATGAGCTAAGAGAACACCGTTAGGGAGTTGTCACAGGCAGGAGCTGCAGTGCTTCCTGAGTCTGTGGGAAATGCTGCCGAACGAAGGGTATCTGGTTGATTTTCTCAGGGAGCCTGTTCCCTGGAGAGACAATTGTCATTGGGTGTCCCCACAGACGGATGTTTTATTGGTTTCTACTTCACCCCTGGCCTTCTGGCACAGCTCCAGGCTCTGACTTCATGGCAGCAGCAAGCGTGATGCTGACATCTGAGGCACGGAGGGCTGAGTTTCTCCATCCCTGGCCTTGTTTGGCCAAGAGGGTGACAAACGAGTTCAGTTAAAATTGTCCTTGGCAAATTGTGGTCTCTGCTCATCTTGCAGGAAGTTGCCCACTTTTTCTTGAGTCAGGGCTCCCCGAGGTGCCTCGGGTAGTTCTCGTGACCTTTCTCCAGCGGCCCTGGGCTCGGGGCAGGCTGTGGGAAGCCCAGGATAGACGAGATCCCGGGCCCAAGGACAGGGGCAGACCGTTGGGCTCACACTCTGCCTTGGACACAGTCATGCGCAGTTCCCGGCCTCCATCACGGGGCTTTATTTACGTATTTGCTTGTGACTTAGACTTACATTTGGATGGCAGACGCTTTTGGTTTTAGTTTTGGTAGCCGTTCGGCTTCTTGCCGGAGAAGTTCCAGGCTTCTAGCCTTTGTTAGTCAGAAGTCACATCTGCTCTTGTTCCTTCTCCTCCTCCTCCTCCTCCTCCTCCTCCTCCTCCAAGTGACATCACACGCTGGCTTCCGAGAACGGCTGCAATCTGCACTTCCATGCAGTCGCCTTCTGTCTGACGTGGGCGCGAGCTCGCCTGGGAGTCCAGGGGCTGCTGCAGCAGGGTGTCGGGCTCTGGGGTCTGTTTGGTTTGGTGATGTCACCTTGGGTTTTTTGCTTTCCTTTCAGACTGCAGCGCTTTTGTCCACAAAGGCTGTAGAGAGAGTCTGGCCTCCTGTGCCAAGGTCAAAATGAAGGTAAGACATTTCTGACTAAAGCAATAAAATCTTCAGAGCTGGGAGAGTTTGAGGTTGTGGGTTTTGTTTCTTTTAATCATTTGGTACCAATTTTGAGACCAAAATAACCAGAAAATAATAATTTTTTTTCCTAAGCAATTGATTCTCTTTCTAATTAACCCACTTGGGAATTTGTGGCTTTTGGAAAATGTTTTAAGAACTTCTCCCTGTTAAATATCCATTTCTCTGGGGTTCTCTTTGTGCCGCTGTTAACCGTGGCTGCAGGCCTGCTCTGCCAGCACCTCACACGCCCGCTTCCTCCTTGGCACCTTGAGGCCAGTAGCGGGGAGGCGGGGCTGTGGCGGCCAGCGGGCTGCGGATGGTTAGGTTAGATGCCTCTCTGGCCGCACTTGTCTCTCAGGGCACATGTAGCCTTAAGAAAAGAGTACAGGTTTGGGGGTGTGCTTGCCAGGTAGCTGGTGTTTTAGTCACCCAGAGTGCCTTTTGCTCCTGTACTCTCCCGCTACATCTGCAAGGATGCTCAGTGTGCTATATGGTCATCTGTAACCAGACACTTGTATGCACTGGAACCACCCTCAGAACCACCTCGAGGGCTTACAGGCCCCCACACTCAGAGTTTCCGATTCTGGGTTGGGGCCAGGAATCTGCGTTTCTTGTAAATTCCTAGGTGATGCTGATGCTGCGAGTCCGAGGACCCCACTGCCAGAAGCAGTGAGCCGTGGGAGAACAAGCTTCTGCACCCCAGATCTTACTTATCAGTCCATGGACATAAATTTTGTTTGGCTCTTGAAGGATTTTTTTATTTCAGTTAATACAGTTACTTAAAATCTTATCCCTCCTTACCCAGGATTCTCAATTCTCTCTTTGCTCGTTTTTTCTTTGTTCTATAGTCCTTATCACCTTCTCAGAGTCTATATTTAACAGTCCGCATTTATTGAGTACATTTATCTTTTTATGGGCTGCCCTGTCCCCTACGAGGATGTAAGGACACACTTGCCAAGCGGTCGTTAGTCAGGAGTGTGTGTTTGACCCACTGATAGATCCGAAGCACCTAGTGTGGTACCTGGCTTATGGGTCCTTAAGTGTCGGAGAGAGGGGTGGCAGTGGGAGCCCACTGGATCCGGGGGGCTGCTGCCTCCTGTGGGCGGGAAGTACATTTCCAGACGGCCTCTCTCCTCCCGCCCCCCAACTTGCCTGTCATGTTACCTGCCCGGCCCCCAGGGTTTGAGTGTGTGATCTCTGATGAGATACTTACACTGTCATGAATGTATTGTATACCAGGTTCTACAGGAAAATAATGAGATCCAGTATCTCCCATTTAAGAGAGTGTAACCTAAAAGGGGGAGTTCCATTTTAAAGTGGAAGTGAACTGTTTTCCACTAACGAGTTCTCTCAGACTAGCTGCTCCAATCTGTAATTTCTCACTCCAAGTGAGCCCGTTACATGCTACCACAAAAGTCTTCACAAAAACAGCACCTCACCTAAGAATTACTTAGCACCTTATACATGCTAGTCTTGGAGAAAGCGATTGCAAAAGGCACAGGTGCGGGTGCTCGGGGACCAGCGTGCTAGTGGCGAAGGTGCGCAGGCAGACGATGACCACAGATGAGGAGACACTAAGCAGAGGGGTGCACAGGATTCTAAGGGGGTGCCAGGCACTGACTTGGGTGAGAAGAAGAGAGTAGGGTGGCTTTGCCACAGAGGCGGTGCCCGGATAAGTGGTCGCGAGCCTGAAGGCTGTCAGACCTGGGAGGGTGAGGTGAATCCAGGCAGAAAAACGCAGCGTGGGTGGCGCCGGTGTGCGTGGCAGGTTCAGAGGCTGGGCAGTGGGTGACCGCGGCTGGGATGGAGGATGCCGAGAACCACTGGCAAGGGACGGAGCGGGAAGGTGGGAGCACCTGGCTCCTTTCTCCTCCAGGCTCCTTGAAACTTGGCGGAAGAGAAATCGTAGATGTAGCCTTCACCTGTTCGTTTCCGTTTCTCCTAGCAGCCCAAGGGGAGCCTCCAGGCACAGGACACATCATCGCTGCCCACAGTCATTATGAGGAACAAGCGTAAGTTGCTCAGTGCGCCTCTCATAATTCTGTTTCACTCTGGTTCAAGACATGTCATGTTCACTTGTTACTCATCGAGATTTGAATACCTATTTTGTGTTACGTTATAGGAGGCTGCAGGCTTTTTGACAAAAGCTTAACCTTCTACCACTAAACTGGGAAGGTTTCTAGTTACTGTGTGTATTTGGTTAAGAGACAGCACCATGGTCCTGCGTGTTTATGCAGGTGGCCCCTGCACACCTTGAAATTCCCCTTCAGTGCGTTGACAGTTATCTTGCTTTTAGTGCCTCACAGTTGAATGAACCAAATGAGATCTTACCTGTCAAGCCTCATTCTGCTTCTCCAACCTTTCCCCGATCCCTTGTGCTCATCCTACTCGCTTCCTCCTGTGCTCACCCCCCTCACCTTAGTGCTCTGCTACTGCGTGTGAATTCCGCCTTCATCCGCACAGTTCCCCTGGCACAGCGTCCTTTCCCTGGGGCCTCCCCACATCCTTGCCTTCGCTCAAGAACCGGTGTCCCTTCCTCCATCAGCTCTGATCTGCCCACTGAGCCCCGACGCCCTGCGGGTGTGCTCGCGGCGCTCGCAGCCTGGAGCATGCTCTTGTTCACTGTCCTCGTCTCGTGGGGACCAGGCCCCCTCTCATCCTCCTTGTGTGCTTCCTGCAGAAAGGGTCTGGTCGTGTTGCGGTGTAGCATGTTTCTTTTGTTTTATTGTGTCACCTTCTAAATAGAATTTGAATTGGAAATTAATGGTTTTATAGAGTTTTATTAAGTCAAAAACATCCTGATATACTCTGAAGTCATAACAGCCACCGCAGTCTATTTCCTTCAGCTCCTGGGGGCGGACCGATAATGCAGTTCATGTCTGGGGCTGGAGCTTGCTTACCAAAGTGATTTCCTCCCCGAATGCCAGTGTGGCCACGCTAGCGTAAAACTAGAGCTCCAGGTTCCTCTTTGGCCGCGTTTAGGAGAAATATGCAATTTGAGGACAAAGGAGCTATGTGACGTTAACCAAACGTTGCTTTTTCCTCATGTGTAAATTAAAAGAATTGCTCTAAATCTGTGTTCTCAAACAGTGTGCAGGAGAACCACATGGGGAGCTTGTACAGTGCTAGGCTCCCTGGCCCCACCCCCAAAGGAAGAGTGGGCTGGGACAGGGCCTCTCCCACAAGTACCTTGGCCGTCCCCGGCACGTGCCTCCGAGGGGCACCAGCCTCAGCTATCTCTGCGGTCCCTTTTATCCTACAGGTCTTTCCATCTCATTTTATTTTGAATTAGTTAAAATGTTGACATATATAACATTTTCACACAATTCTTCATTCTTGTTGACTAATTTCCATCCCACCCTACAGGTAATCACTCTTTTTCATTTAATATTTATCTTCTTCAGGTTTCTTTATTAAAATTCGATGTTAAATTATTAATATTGAATTATTAATTTTTCTTTTAAAAAATGATAGTCTGTTGTGCATTTTATTCTACACCTTGATTTATACACCCCCGCCCCCATATATTGTCTTCAAGATCTGTGTCAATTCATGGAGGGTGTCTTAATTTTTTAAAACTACATACTATTCCATTGCATAGTGTACCATAATTTATTAATCTGCTTTTGATACTCATTTGTGTCATCATTTCCAATCTTTTGCTTTTACCAACAATGTTGTGTTGAATAACTTTGAACATGTATCAATTCAGACACAAATATATATGTATATATGTGTGTGTGTGTGTGTGTGTGTGTGTGTGTGTGTGTGTGTATGGAGTAACTGTACTCTGAAATGGAATTACTGGATCAAAGTGTATAGGCATTTACAGTTCTAACAGATGTTGCCAAGTTGTCTTCCCTAGAGTTTTTGGACCTGTTTACACTCCCAGGGCACATCTGTTCTACAGCAGTTTGAGTCTCCCTGGCTTTTGTCAGATGAATCAGGACTCGTGGGCATGGATCGGCAGTGCCTCATCGGTGCCTCCTCTTCCTTTACAGCCGCGCAACCCAAGGAGCGCCCTCGGTCCGCAGTGCTCCTGGCCGATGAAACCGTGGCCGCCCCCATGTTTTCTAACAGGCGGTCGCAGCAGTGTGTGTCACTCTCCAAAAGCGTCTCCATACAGAACATTGCTGGGTAAGTGGGCGGTGAAAGGTAGCACAACCGACGTCTAGGCGACAAGAGCATAATACTTACATCATTTAATGAAAATACGCTTCTCTAATTAAAAAAGTGTGTAAGATAATGTTGGTGCACAACTGAGCGAGTCGGATGAGCGTGAAGATTACATTCATGGCGGCCGTTTGTGACGAGGGTCCCCTTTCAACACCATTGTCGTGCTAGGTTGTCCTACGCTTCTGTCCCCGATTGGCCACTTCTGAAGACCTTGCATTCTAAAAGGGTGATACCCAAATCAAAATAGGAAGTAGTACGGGGAGAGATGATTTAATTCTGAATTGTTAGTTGCAACCACTTATATTTTAGGCCTCACATTTTTCTGTTGGTCGGATGAACCTGGTCTGTTTCTACTTTAATTTGTCCATCCTTGCCTCTTGCCACCTAAGTTGGTTTCGGAATGACTGGTGGGCCAGTTGTTAGGGTCAGGTTCCCACCCACGCGGTGGCGCGGGGTTCCTTTTGTGATCCCTGCGGAAGTTGCTGTGACTCCTGACTGTGGAGGCCTCAGCTGTCACATGGTAGCACAGGGATGATTCTGGTGTCACTGGCCGTTTGGGGTAAGATGCTTGACTTCCCACGAAGTTCAGGCCTCCAAACACCTCTGACGTCTCCCTTGCCTTTGGCTGGGGGAGAATTCTCACCTCGAGGGTATAAGCCTTCTTTTGTGTGTATTTTCTAAAGCCTCCGTGTGGGCTGACATTTCCTCCTCCTCCAAAAAAAAAGGTTTCAGGTATTTTATTTTTTGTCTTTGTATTATCATTATCCAGAGGCCTTCTTTTCAAAGTAGTTACCGATATTTGTTTCCATCATGACTTTTTAAAGTTGGTCTTTAAATAAAATGTAAAGTTTTAAATGACTGTGGATTGCTTTTATGTCCTATCACAAACATTTACTGGGTACTTACTCTGCCAGCTGGTGAGTTGGGGCAAGAGAGTAAATAAATTGGTTAACATCACCCCAATAAATTTAACAAAATTTTTTAAATTAAAAGAATATTCATTCTGTAGTTACTGAAAGAACAGGAGGAGAGATGCAGCAATTAGACAGTGAGGTTCAAATGGAAAAATTTCCTCTGTAATGTATATACAGTTTAGGGGTGAGACTGTTCTCCTTCCTACCTATCATTTAAAAAAATCCAGGGTCTGAAAAGTTCAAGTTTGCAGTGATGCTAAGTGCCCTTAAACTTCATTATTAGTTCTCATTGCTGGGTTCTTGACCTAAGTAATTTGTCGCACTCATGACAGTACCTCTAGCCAGCTGTCAAACCAGGACTCCTCAGAATGTATTTGACGTGCTTCTCTTTGTCCCCAGAGTTGGCAATGATGAGAACATATCGAACACCTGGAAATTCCTGTCTCATTCCACAGACTCGCTAAATAAAATTGTCAAGGTCAATGAGTCGACAGAATCACTTACTGATGAGGGTAAGAGGAAGTTATGGCCCCTATTTTCTGTAGAGATCGTGTTATTCCATTACCTAGAATACAAATGTTGATGCAATATTAGCGCCCGCCTCTTCCCTACTCCTGTGAAGATTCTCTAAATTTTCTGAAAAGCATCAATTGCTTTATAATAAATTGGCAATCAGACCTACCCAGTTGTTAGATGGTTGTCCATTGAAGGGTGGTGTTGCTTTTAATATGGTTGCACGCTAGTACGAATGCTTTTTCCCCGTAGAATTTCAGTTCCAGCTCTCCTGGCACAGTTGTAATCCTGCTCTCTTAAAAAAGTAAAGTTCCCAGGTCCCTTCCAGTCCCTGCTTCAGATAGGGATCACGTCTTAATCGCATTTCACTTGTGTGATGTTGATCACTCCCAGCCAAAGCCTTGAATGTAGAGTATGTCACTCCTGAACAGGAAATGATTCTTTTCTTATACTGGAATATGCTGCTGTGAATATCCCCCAATTAACGACAGTGTTTGTGTCTTAAAAACTCATCGCACCAAGGAAAGTCCAGCATAGGCTTTTTTAAGAGGTCACAGACCAAGGTCCTGATATTGGTTTTTCTGCTATTTTGAGGAGTAGGTACAGATATGAATGAAGGACAGCTAATGGGAGACTTTGAGATTGAATCAAAACAGCTGGAAGCAGAGTCCTGGAGTCGGGTAGTAGACAGCAAGTTTCTGAAACAGCAAAAGAAAGACGTGGTCAAGCGTCAAGAAGTGATCTATGGTGAGAGTCTTCCTTTGCTCTGCTAACATTTGATTGCATCGTCCAGAATTTTTCATCGGGTGATTTATTGGGCTATAGCAAGTCAATTTTCAAGTGTGTAGTATCTCAAAGATTTTCTTTTAAAACTTTGAGGTATAGAGACATGATCTCATTTCTATCCTTTCCCCCCCCCTATTTAAAATAATTTTTCTTAATTTTATTGAACATTTTATTTAATATGAGTGCTTATTTATGCAAAAGGCCTAAAAAGAAATTTCCTGTGACAGCTTAATTCTTCCACTACAGTAGGAACTAGACACTAAACAGTCACTTCTAGGAAACAGGAACCCAGTAAATTGTGAAAGGTTTCAATTCCAGTGAAGACCATTCTTGGAAACCACTGGAGAGTGATGGAATCTAGTATTGCTATCGTTGGCCACATGAAAAATGGAGGAAGAAGATAAAAACACTTGAGGGGGAAGACAGCTATTGACCCAGTTTTAAAGTCTCAGTCGGGCTTTAATAAGCCATACGGCTCATGGGGCTCTTCATAGCAGCAGGTGGTCTTGGGAGGAGAGTCCTTGTAGCAGAGTCTTCCTGACCGTTGAGCTTTGTCCCGCCGCCAGAGCTGATGCAGACAGAGCTGCACCACGTCCGCACGCTCAAGATCATGAGCGACGTGTACAGCCGGGGGATGATGACGGACCTGCTCTTTGAGCAGCAGATGGTGGAAAAGCTGTTCCCATGTTTGGATGAGCTGATCAGTATCCACAGCCAGTTCTTTCAGAGAATCCTGGAGCGGAAGAAGGAATCCCTGGTGGATAAAAGCGAAAAGAACTTTCTTATCAAGAGGATAGGAGATGTGCTTGTGAATCAGGTGAGCATGGGGCGGAGGGATGCTTTGGGATTCAGAAACCACGCGTTCACATTCTCAGCTCGGACATTTATTACCTTTCCGCACGTAGCCATGATGTTTCTCTCTCTCCAAGCCTCAGTTTCCTTTTCTGTCAATGAGGACAGTAGCCTTTCTCTCCCAATGCAATATTTCATATGTATGGAATGTATATATACATTTCCTAGCATATATGGTAGATGCTGTATATACGTGTAATGGTGGCTATTGTAGTGTCTGACTTACTAAGATGAAATTTTTAACACTAACTCATGAAAACCTTCTAGTGAGTTTCCTCGTTTCCTTACTATGATTATGACACAGAACACCATTTTGCATTTCTTATGTACATGGTACTTAGATTTTTGTATCCATTGTTTTAAAAAATATATATAACAGCTTTATTGAAATATAATTCAGATGCCCTATAATCCACCCTTTGAAGGCATAGTCCAGTGGTTTTTAACATATTCACAGAATTGTGCAACCATTGCCACAGACAGCCCTGAGACGTTTTTATGACCCCGCCACCAACAGCTGTCCGCAGCCCTAGGCAACCGCTAATCTGCTTTCTGTCTCTGTGAATGTGCCTATTCTGGACATTTTATAGAAATAAAATAAAACAATATGTGGTGGTTTGTGGTGGGTACTGATTTTTTTATTTCCAATAATGCTTTCAAGGTTCATCAGTATTGTGCTATGTATGAAATCAGTGTTTCTTTTCCTTTTGTGTCTGAGTACTGTTCCGTCATACACACACACACGCACGCACGCACGCACGCACGCATGCGCACACACACATACACCACATTTTATTTATCCATGTATCCTTTGATGGACATTTGGGTTATTTCCACTTTGGGGCTATTATGAATAATGAGTAACGAGCATTTGTATGAGTTTTCGTGTGGACGTATGGTTTTATGTCTAGGAGCAAAATTACTTGGTTCGTTAACTTTGTGAGGAACCGCCACACTGTTTTTTCAAAGTGGCTGCGCCATTCTCATCTTTTGGAGCAGTTTATGAGGAGGCGCTCTTGGCCTTCACAGATGGACTGGCAGCCTTGCACAAAGTGGTCCTGCAAGTTCAGCTCCTGAGTTAAGGCCTAACTTCTGTTCTCTTTTCTCTGCAGTTTTCAGGCGAGAACGCAGAGCGCTTAAAGAAGACATACGGCAAGTTTTGTGGGCAGCACAACCAGTCTGTGAACTACTTCAAAGACCTGTATACGAAGGACAAGCGTTTCCAGGCCTTCGTAAAGGTACCGATGTGAAGCATGACCGTCCCCGTCATTGTCCAGAGTGTCATATACTGTCCGTCTCGGTAGAGCCTTCGTCCCCGGGTAGCTCCTGACCGTCCGTTTACTCCCTTGCAGAAGAAGATGAGCAGTTCAGTCGTGAGGAGGCTCGGAATCCCAGAGTGCATACTGCTGGTAACCCAGCGGATCACCAAGTACCCCGTTTTATTCCAAAGAATTCTGCAGTGCACCAAAGGTGAGCCTCCCCTCGTTCCGCCCCGTGCGCCGGAGGCCCTGTGGAGGAACGCTTTCCTGCTCTACTGGGTCTAGGAGAGAGACCCTGGGTTTTATCTAGAAACTATTGTTTTGAATGAAAACTTAAAATATTATGTCAGCAGACTCAGGGTGGATGATAGCAAGAAGGGAAAGAACCACGTATTGATCCCATCAAGAGTTCAGGGACCTGAATAATTTCTCCCTTGTCACTAGACTGAGAGATAATTCCCACCAATTTTCCCCGTAAGTGCTAGAATTGCTGCTGTTTTTCTTTCTTATTTGGTACTTGCCAGCTTCTCTTTTGGTCAGTACTGCTCATAGTCAGTTACATTTAAAGATTAGGTAAAACAAAGACAAATAAGAAACTTATTGTTCTTCTTCTTCCTGAAAAATGTTTGGCTTCTTCTACTTGAGGACATAGCATGTGCTTGCAGATTTTCTATATCACCTAAAATATCTAACTTCATTTAGAATTAAACTTATGCCTGAGGGGAGGGATAGGGACATGCCCTCGGTATGTTGGCCTTGCTCTGATAGCTTATGCCCACAGAGGGAGGGCGAGGATTTGGAGGAAGAGGGTAGGATCCCCCTCCTTCTACTCACGTCTGAAAGGCTCCATGAAAAACAGAACTATTCTTTCCTTCTAAGACAATGAAGTGGAGCAGGAAGACCTGGCTCAGTCCTTGAGCCTGGTGAAGGATGTGATTGGAGCTGTAGACAGCAAAGTGGCAAGTTATGAAAAGAAAGTACGTCTGAATGAGATCTATACAAAGACAGACAGCAAGTCGATCATGAGGATGAAGAGTGGTCAGATGTTTGCCAAGGAGGATTTGAAGCGCAAGAAGTTGGTGCGGGATGGAAGTGTGTTTCTGAAGAACGCCGCGGGAAGGTTGAAAGGTAAGGCTCATGCCTGCTCTGACTCTGAGCGGGTGCCAGAGGGCAGCAGGCAAAATCCAGGTGTTTTTGTTGGCAACACACCACCAGATTTTTCCTGGGGAGCACATATCCAAACATCACACAGGAACAACCATCATTTAATTGTTCTTATTTTTGTATCAAAAAGGACTGGTTTAAGAGGGCTTATAAAATCATAAAATACAGCAAGTTTACAAGGAAATATAGTCAGGTAAAATGGAAAAGACTATTTTCAGAAACAAAACAAGGGGTAAGATTAACACAAAAACACCAGTGGTAAGGAAGGCGTGCTGTCTTCCAAGAAAAGGGCAGCAGATTTGGGATTGGGGTCTGGCAGAACATTGGCGCCATCAGCCAGCTCACAGTCTGTGACTTTAGAAAGTGGGCATCACTTGTTCTAAAGAAATGTTAGAGGGATTTTCAGCTCCTCAGACCTTAGAGAAATGTGGTTATTAACTCATCAGTTAAATTTATTAAACTTTATGGTATTCATTCCTTTTATCTTTAAGGGAAAAAGATCATAGAACACATTTGCTTTTAATTTGGTTTCAATTTTTAGTTTTCAAATGATCGGTTACATCAAGTTAAGGAAGTTTGAGGTCTGTGAATTCATCTGTACATTTGATTTTTTTAAAAAATAATTGTCATCAAACCTGCACTCTCTGGGCCTGTGAGGCAGCCCCAACTTCCCCAGCAGCCTGGAGTGTCCCCACCTTCCTCCCTGGCCTTGGTCACTGCGCATAGGAAGCAGGCGAGCCCGATGCTGCCAGCCCCACCGACATAAAGCTGAGGTTGATGGAATGCGTGCCTCTGTCATCTGTGAGGTGCAAGTGATGTTATAGGCGCCGCTGTCAGAGAGGACCCCAGGGTCCTTAACTAAAGTCTCACCAAGCTTAGACCACACAGTGAAGCAGCCCCAGGCAGTCAGACGGGGTCAAAGGTGAATGAAGCCAGACCTACTGCCACACCGTGTGTGCCCCCCCGCACCGCCCTGGCCCCCTCCCCGCCCAGTCACACACACAGGCAGGGAACAGAATGCAGAGGCTGCTCTCCGGCAGGGATCTAGGTGATATTCTCGGAACCTGGCCCAGGGCACTGTCCCGCGGCCCCCCTGCGACTGTCTGAGGCAGGCCTGTGGTCTGGACACACCTGCCCTGCCCTGCCCTGCCCTCCAAGGAGCTGACTTTTCCAGAGCTGCCGCTGCCCAGAGCTAGCTCTTTGTTCTCCTTCCTTTACAAAGTAGTTTATTTATCCATTCCCGAAATAAAAACTAATAGATTCCAGCTGTTGGAATAAAGTTGTGGTCAAGTCCATGGCGAAACGATAGGTTTTGGACCTGAAAGGCCGCCAACGGAGATAGGAGTTGGTGTTGAGTCATTCTCACCCCAAGTGAACTCGTGCCAAGAACAGCCAGTACTGCGTGGGGTGCCCTTTGAAGGGATGGGGTTTTCTCTGATCCCCTGACACCGATCATATAAACTTCAAGATCCAGTGAGGGTGAAGCTTGTGTTTTAGAACTCTTTTTTTTTTTTTTTTTTTGGCAGGCACCTGAATTACTTAAAAGTCAGCTTAAAAAAAAAAACAGACCTAATGGAACTAACGGTAGTGCATGGAAAATTACTCATCTAGGCTGAACAACTTGATCTGCCTAGAAATCAGACCTCTTTGCTTCTGCTTTCTTCAGGGCTTTGCAGTGAGTTATACTGAGCGGGGCTTCCAGTTGTGGCAGAAGCGGGAGGAGAGGCAGGAGGGCCTGACCGCCCCAGGGCATTGCGCGTGTCGGTGCCATTCGTTCCCCAGGGAACCGCAGACTCCCCTTTCCAGAGGGGCCAGCCTCCTAGAGCTCGGTAGCTGGCTCGGCTCCAGAGATGTCACTGTGTTCGTAGAGAATTAGAGCAAGAGTTCGTGGCATCCTTTGGATTCCTAGATCCAACTAGAGGTGTTCCTTTGAGTTGTCTTTTATTTCAAGTGAGAAGCAGGGGAGGCTGTTTCCGGGGCACAGAGGGGCTGAGGTTGACTCGATCAGAAGTCACTGTTGCACGTGCCAGTGAAGTCAGTGCGGTGTGCAGCCCTTCTCTTCTCTGGGGCGTGTGAAGGAAAGTCTACCTCTCGTTAGACTTAGACGTTTTTCTGCATCACCTTTTGGCAGCTTTCCTGTCTGCTACCCCACGCCTTTCCCATCACTGCAGTCAGAAGATGAGAAGTCTGTGACCGAAGTATTTTGTGGATTGTGTTGCCGTATAACATCCGTAAAAGTCCTGCTCTTCGCTTGTATTCTTAAGAGTAGTTGATGCTAGCAACCTTGCCTTAGGGGATGTATCTGCCCAGAGCTAAATGCTTCTGCTTTTCCAAGACAAGGCATTGGTGATAAAAGTCCCATTTTAAAGTGCCTGCAAAACTCTTAATGAGCGGATCGTGCCCAGGTGTAAAACGGTTGCCATGGAGGAGGGTCATCTCTGACCCCGATTTGCTCTGAATTACTGATAAAAGCGCTCTGGTGATACTCAGCTGTTAACTAGTCGCTGTTCTTTCTTTCCTGCCCTGACTGGACAGAGGTGCAAGCGGTTCTGCTGACTGACATCCTAGTTTTCCTTCAAGAAAAAGACCAGAAATACATCTTTGCGTCATTGGTAAGCTGAACTGCTAGGCATTTCTGTTTGTAATTAATAATAGCATTCAGAACAGCTAGAGGTAACTGTTGAGTATAAATTAAACGCTATTGTTTGTCTCCCACCCTCTCAAAATTACGTGGCTCACAACAAATTCCTCTGAATAGTTTCTTATATACTCTTAAATTTTTTCTGTCCGCTCGACCCCACCCCCCCAAAATTATTTTCTGTTTCCCCGTAATCCTTTTGAGAGCCTTGGACATTTGATCACTGGAGTATTTCTCACATGTTACACCCCGTAAATCATGCTATTTTATAATATTGCCACCCAGATTCTGTAAGGAACATGGAAAGATTCATCATGTAGAACACATGACTAGGGCCTTTATGGCCATAAGTTGTCATTTCCTTTGCAGAACTCTTTTTCTGTTGGATGAAATATAAGTGAAATAATGAGATCTTTCTCATTATCCCACTCTGCTGCTGTTTGTTAAACCACGTGCTTTTAAAAGGCATCTGGTCTACCTGAGGTTGAAGTTATCCTTCCAAGTTAGAATGCTGTGTACACGTCTTACATCTGCCTCTCCCCCTCTTCCAGGACCAGAAATCCACAGTGATCTCTTTAAAGAAGCTGATTGTAAGGGAAGTAGCACATGAGGAGAAAGGCTTGTTCCTGATCAGCATGGGGATGAAAGACCCGGAGATGGTGGAGGTCCATGCCAGCTCCAAAGAGGAGCGGAACAGCTGGATTCAGATCATTCAGGACACCATCAACGCCCTGTAAGCCCCCCACGGCCCGGCCCGGCCCAGCCCGTCCTCCCCGCGCCTCCGTGACTTCAAACTAGACTGGGCAGTCCCCGGAGTAATGGATGTCTTAGGAATTTTTTGTTGTGTTTTGGTTGTATTAGGAACAGAGATGAAGATGAAGGAATTCCTAGTGAGAGTGAGGAAGAAAAGAAAATGTTGGACACCAAAGCGCGGGAATTAAAAGGTACGGCTGTGGAAGGGGCCTGAGACTCCCGTGTGTGGCGTGTCTGCAGTTGTGAGACTGCGGTTGCTCCCGGGGCCTGGGCCCCGGAGTTGCCGGCAGGCCCCCGAGAACGGCGAGATGGGTAGCTTTTAACAAAGGAGAAACCATATCTGAGCCAAAACGTCCGGACCCCGAACAGCTGTAAGAAGGTGTCGAACCCTAGATCAAGGGAATATTGATTCTCTTGTCTTAGTATCAGTGTTCTTGGACCCCTTGTCACAGAGGAATTTTCAAAAGATGTGGTCGCATGTAAAATTAAAACAGAAAGGAAAGGTACTTGAGGAGAAGAATCTTCCAGTTAATCTGCCTTTATATTAGTGACCTGGGCTAACGGTGCCATACACTCACAAATAAGTTAGGAGGTGGTTTGGGGAGAGTGTGCCTGCTATATTTGACCCCTGTTCATTAAGCCCCTACTGTTTTGTGTAGCCTTGTCAGCATCCTGCCAGACTTGGACTCGCGTGGCCACTGTGCAGATGAGAAGGCAGAGAGGCCCACGAAGGCCGAGCAGGCCGGGGCCCGTCCACTGTTTATGGCAGAGGCAGGATTTTGCTCCCTATTTCTAGACAGAAGAGTCTAGCACCGTCTCTTTGCTGGTGCTTATTTAATGTTCTGAAGTAACCCCTAGGCTGTGGATAGAGTCAAATAAATGTAAGCACCCAGGGAGTTTGGTTAGTCCTTCAAGCCGGACACAGTGAGAACATTCTGTTTTGGGCGGGGTGGGGGATGCACAGACTGAGGTCTGAGCCAGCATTCAGAACAGCTAGAGGTAACTGTTGAGTATAAATTAAACACTATTGTTTGTCTCCCACCCTCTCAAAATTACGTGTCTCACGACAAATTCCTCTGAATAGTTTCTCATATACACTTAAATTTTTTCTGTCCCCTCGACCCCACCCCCCCAAAATTATTTTCTGCTTCCCTATAATCCTTTTGAGAGCCTTGGACATTTGATCACTGGAGTATTTCTCACACGTTACACCCAGTAAATCATGCTACTTTATAATATTGCCACCCAGATTCTGTAAGGAACATGGAAAGATTCAGCATGTAGAACACGTGATGGCCTGTTGGCCTGTCATTAGGATGACAGGGGTAGCTGCTGCTTTTAACATGTAAGAAGCATCTGGCAAGGCACACGCTAGGTGGTTGGGATGCAGAGATCCCCAAAACAGAGGCCCTTTGTTGGGAAGCTCACACGCTAGCAAGGGAGGCGCACCTGAATGACAGGCCACCAAGTGTGCTGCTAGGCCAGAGGGCTGTGCAAAAGGCCTTCCGATGTCCCCAAGGAGTGATGGGTTAGGTCTGTCCGGAGGGTCAAGGCTAAGGGTTGGGAGATTAAAGCACCAGGTCTTGAAAGTCAACAAGGGAACAAATACCATGTTTTTAGCAAAATTTGAACTTAAGTTTTTCCATTAATATTGAAGCCAGTTGAGAGACTTGCTGGAGGGAGTTGGGGAACCTGTGGGAGAGGAAAGGCTGCTAGGGAGGCTGGGGGAAAGTTCAGTGAGCAATGGCCTGGAGGGGGTAGCAGTAAGGAGCCTGTGTGACCATGGCAGAGTGTGACCATGGCAGAGTGAGCCGGTGAAATCTGCCCCAGGCCTCCGGTGCACGTACGCTAGAGGGCGAAGGTGTCATTGACTGAGGAAGAGGTCACAGGCCAAAGGGAGGATGTGGGATGGCAAGAGGGAGACGAGGTTTCTGACATGCTGACAGCAAGGCTTCTAAATAGAGACCGCCACTTGACAGTGGGAGGCATTGGTCTGGTGCTCAAGAAAGAGGGTAGGATTTAGCCCTGGCAGGTGTGGCTCAGTGGATTGAGCACCAGCCTGCGAACCAAAAGGCTGTAGGTTCAATTCCCGGTCAGGGCAAGTGCCTGGGTTGCAGGCCAGGTCCCTGCTGGGGGCGTGCGAGAGGCAACTGTATCGCTCATACATGCATGTTTTTTTCCCTCTCTCCCTTCCTTCCCCTCTCTCCAAAAATAAATAAATAAAAATCTGAAAAAGAGGGTAGGATTTGGGACGCTTTTTATGGGTTGTCAGCATCTGTGAAGTAATTGAAGTCATGGGAGTGAGATCTCCGAAAGGAAAGTGGGTTGGGGATAGACAGCGGCCTGGATGGAGCCAAGGGGACCCCAGAGGTCCCATTGCAGAAAACAGTTCTCGGCCTGAGAGAGGATTTTAGGAAGGGGACCAAAGATGTCCTCAAAGGAGGGAGGGAGACAGTTTAAAGAGGAGGGAGGAGTCATCTGTGCTCGAAAGGGGGACATGACAGACCTTAGATTCAGTGAGGAGGGGTAGCCTTGGGAAGAGGGGGTGTAGTCATAGGCAGCAGCCAGCGAAGTAGGGGTTGAAAAGCCAGCAGGGAGGAGGGGAGTAGAAACCAAAGTGCAGCGTGTGGTGTCAGGAATTCTGATGTTTGCCAGAGAGGCCCAGGATCTAGTTTACTAGGTAGAAATTACAGAATGAAAACTTGGTACAGCCTTCATGATGAAAAGGGGGGAAAAAACTGGTATCTCCTGTGCTGTCCCATAAATTACCACAAGGTGGCGCTTGTGTCTTAGTCATCTCACACTAAGCTATCAAATCACCAGACCTTTTCTCTCCACCCCGCAGAACAACTTCAACAAAAGGACCAACAGATCCTACTCTTACTGGAAGAAAAGGAGATGATCTTCCGGGACATGACTGAGTGCAGCACCCCCGTGCCCGAGGATTGCTCCCCAACTCACAGCTCTAGAACCCTCTTCCGCTCCAACACAGAAGAGGCTCTGAAAGGAGGACCTTTAATGAAAAGTGCAATAAATGAGGGTAATTTCTGTTCAGCGTTGCCCCTTCTTCATCACTTCCCAATGTGGTTTATACCTTTTATTACCTTTTATTGTAAAACAAAGCACAAATACAGAAAACACACACCTCAGTTTAGTGAGTTACCAAGTGAGCATCTTGTCGCCGCTACCCAGGTCAGGAAATAAAATGTGGCCACACGGCCGAAGCCCTTCTGCATGCCCTGTCCCCACCAAAGCTCCCTCCCTCCTTCCCACCAAGAGAGAACAGGCATTGGGACTTTTACAGTAAGCATGTATGTTTCTTTCTGGTTTTATGGCCAAATACCTCTTCATAATCACTATAGTGTAGCCTTGCTTATGTTTTCTGATGGCTAAAATTTAATTTACAGCCCCGCCCCCAGCATCCCCTTCTTTCCCACACAATTGAACTTTGAAAACTGAGCTCTTTAACGCATTGAGTTTCATGTTTCCTTTCTCAGTGGAGATCCTTCAGAACCTGGTGAGTGGGGGCCTGGGGGGCCCCCTCGGGCAGGCCGTGGGCAGCCCTGCTGGGCAGGAAGGCGCCGTCGGCCCCGTGTCCTTGCCCCGGAGAGCAGAGACCTTTGGAGGCTTCGATAGCCATCAGATGAACGCTTCAAAAGGTGGGTGACTTTGAACTCACGTGACTTTACAGGCAGTCCTGGACATCACACGGAACTAAAAATGCTCCATCTCATCTGCCCCAGTCAGTAAATGTTTTCGTGAGATCCCCGTAAGTATCTAGCTGCTAAAACATTCAGGAACCCCTGTCAGCGACACGTTCATTTTGAGTAATAATGATGTTCTGGGATCTCAGCTAAGCTGTAGCCAAAGGAGTAATAATACTTGTTTTTCTCTTTGCTTCTGGTTTTTCTGCATCATTAAAAATTAATAATCACTTAGCTGCCACCAACTGGCTTCCCGTTCTTTGGCTTTTGTAGGATTCAAAAATTTCATATCCCTAGAGTATGTATCTTGTATTCTTTTCTTGGCTAATCTGTTTCCCAACCTCAAAAAAATAAAAAACTTACTTCTTTGTTCAGGAGGTGATAAGGAAGAGGGAGATGATGGCCAAGATCTTAGGAGAACGGAATCGGACAGTGGTCTGAAAAAGGTAAATTTTTTTTTAGGACCTTCAAAGACTATCTGAGACCTTCTCAGCACTTCCCTCTGAATTCACAATCTTTGAAATTCATCCACTTGGATGCCTGACCTGCTGCTTTTATTCCCTACTTAAGAGGAAAACGCATTTTTAAGCCTACAGTGCAATTAAGAGTTCCCACATTGCTGGCCCGTGGCCTCTCTGGCCTAGAGCTTCATGTTTACATCCACAGCCCGACCAGGGCCCTGGCAGGACCAGTTTCACCAAGGGGTTTATTTGAATCCCCAAACGGACCTGACCTCTTTACAAGGCTTGCGTGTCGGCTCAGCCTCGAGTCTCTGTCACGCTGCATCGAGAGGCAGCAGCAGAGCAGGGTGAACGTGGGACACCACAGTGCATCCTAGACACATGTTAGCTATGGTTCCTGCCTCAGGATCTTTGTGTTTCTAAAATGCGCGTTTTTTGTTTTATAGGGTGGAAATGCTAACCTGGCATTTATACTTAAAAGAAACAATGAGGTAAGGATGTTGTGAGCTATTGAAGAGTATGATTTTATTATAATTGCTAGGTTAGGGGTGCTCATTTTTGTTTTGCTGGTATAAACAGGCCGATTCCTGGCAGCGCTCTGCACACTTCACGATGCGGCTGTCGGGTCCTGCCCTGCCCCTGGCCCAGGGCGTGACCTGGGCACCATGTCGCAGCATTGCCTGCTGACATGGGCTCTGTTTCTCTGCCCTGGAGAGACCTCCTGCTTTCTCTGGACACTGGCTGGGAAGCCCCCTCGTTGGTGCCTCCGGTCTAAGCCCACTGAGTACAGTTTGTAGCCTCCTTTCCTGTGGCAAATTACCTCGTGGGGAGCTTTGCGCAGTCATTTCTTATCCCACAGGGACTCAGGTTCAGCTTTCTTCCTTGAGCCCTGCTTTTCACGTAACGTGTGTTGCTCAAAAAGTGGCCTTGGTGTCCTGCTTGTTAGAGGTCAGACTCTGGTTCACGTCTTTTCCACCCTCCTTGAGCTCAGGCCCGCTGATCCTGCAGGCAGCTGCACTGGTTTCCCTGGCCTTGACTTCCTGTTTCTGTCTCAGGAAGAGTCCTCGAGGTTACTGTCCTCCCCAGATGTGTTTCCTCTGCATGGCGGGTCTATGTGTCAGCGACTGGAATTCCACACACAACAGTGGCCTTTTGGGGGTGTGCCTCTGGGGATGTTCTGTGTGTTTCTTCTTGCTTTCTACCTATACCCTAAATTCATGAGAAGCGTTGTTTTCAAATTTTAAACTAATGGAACCTTTCCTTTTTTTCTTCGGAAACACAGAGGGATATTGTTTGCTGTTTGTTGGCATGGAAGCCCAAACACTGTGGTGTCCTGAAGGGAGGCTCTTCCGTATTTGCCCTTAAATAAGACAGACCTGTTCTTGAACAAACTGTTGCTCTTGGGGTCTGCTGCTTGAAATTTAGCTCGGTGCTGATTTTTCCATTTGGCAACTTCTGCCTCTGTATCTAGTGAGAAGAGTCAGGTAAAAAGACAGTACAGGACCAGTGTTTTCCAGGCATTTCAGCCTGGATTACATGCCTCAGAAACCCAGCCGGAGTCAGCTGCTCTTCTGTGACCTCTCTCTTCTCCTTTCATGAAGAATAGGCTTAAATGATGGATGAAAAATATTCTTAGATATGCTTACGCCTGAGAATTACTTTTTTTGTGTTTTAAGTATTATAAAAAGAGTACATATTCATGGTAGAAAACCTGAAAACTGTCCCACAATGTAAAAAAATTAAAATAGGGAACTGTAATCCCACCATTGAGAAATAACTAGGGTTAAATGTTCAGTGCTTCTCTTTCCAGCCTTTTGTACATAACATGTGTCTAAGTTCGTGTGAGTGCGGATAGTGTGAAAATAGTGGTACATGGCCTGTGTCACTGCTCCCTAGGGCTTCCTATCCTGAAACTTTTCTCCTGTCACACGTTAGAAGCATTTCCCGAGAACAGTTATTCAGACATGCTCAGTCACAGCGGCCTATGGTGACGTCGTATACCGTACCCTGTGTACGCTCTCCAGTGGTGATTCTTTCTCTGCTGCTTTGCTCCTCATGTGATGCAGCCAGGGCTCCTTGTCTAGGCGTGCGCTCTGCTCCCGAGAGCGGGTATGCAGAGTGCAGCCCTGCCGTCGGCCGCCAGGCCATCGCCTTCACCGGCATCGGGGATTTTCATTTTTCAGTTGACGTTTTGTTGATGTGATATGTTCAGGTGGTATCTCTTTATTTGGCATTTGTTTGATTTCCAATAAAGCTTAATCATTTTTAATACATTATATAGTTGGCCATTTGTAGTTGTTCTTTTGTAAATTGCCGGTTTGCATTCCTGGCCTGTTTTCCTATGAGAGTATTCATTTCTTATTGATCTATGAGAGCTTCTTTAAATCAGATGTTTTTTGTTTGACTTTCTGTTCAGCATGTCCATTTTGCCTTTTAATTGTACATTTTACATAGTGGAAGTTGAAGGTTGTATGGGGCTTCTTCCACTGCTTCTGCCTTTGAAAAGCATTCTGTTTCAAGGGCAGGAAGACATTCTCCTGTGTTCTCATAGCTCTTTTATGGTTCTTTTATTAATACTTGGCATTTTAATCTATTGGAATGTTTTTCTAGTGTGAGCCAGGATTCAAACTCAATTTTTTACAACAATCTAGCCAATTTCCTCAGAACATTTCATTGAATATTCTTCCCCGTTGATTTAGAAATGATCCTTCTATCATATACTAAACTCTTACGATTTGCTTCAGGGCTTTCTCTTCTGTTTGATGGGTATGTACGTCATTTTTGTGCTGGTCATTTTAAATAATTGGAGCTTTCTTTATAATACTGTGTGCTGATGTCCCTCCTACACACAGTTATTTTTTTGGTCTTGTTTTGTTTTTCTTGGCTAATTCTACCTCCTTACTCTCTTCGGTGCTTTCAGCTTGAAAATATTTTGTTCCCGTGCAAGCACCTTGCTGTGTGTGAGGAGGTTACCTGGTCAGGTGACTAACGGGTGGTGGGTGTGAGGCTCGGCACTGACAAGATGTGTCCCTGTATCCCTTCCACAGCAGGTCGTGCAGAGCATCGTCCATCTCCACGAACTCCTTAGTGCTTTGCAGGTACGTGCCCTTCTCGCTTCCCTCTTTGCTTCTTTCTTTCCACAGAAACGGTAAAGCGGGTATGTTGGCCTGGATTTTGAGCTCATAGGTTGCTTGTGGGTAATCGGGGCCCTTGGTCTAGGGAAGACGGGCTCTTGTGATGAGAAGTGTCATAGGACGCAGTGTTTAGGGTGCCATCTGCCCTCAGACTGGAGCTGATGGACAGCTGGTGGACAGCATTTCTGTGGTGGCCATGCCCCAGAGGCGCCAGTGTGCCCTTGGGCCATTATGTCACTCCAGAGAGGCTTCAGTAGGACTAGGAGTTTCCCTGTGCCATTTCTCTCTGTGGTATTTGGGTAGCAGGGCCCGCTCCCAACAGCTGCTCTTTACACTTCCCGGGAACGTCTTTTAGTTCTGCTCGCTTTCATTCTTCAAGATCTAACCAATCCCATCCTGTGTGCTCCCACCTCCAAAACACACCCCTCCCTACCCTAGGTGATGCCAGTGCCCACAGATAGCACGTGATCAAGTCTGACAAAACACCGAGTTCCTGCACCGTTGATGTTCCTGTTTGATAACTGCCCATGGTTCTCCTGGAGTGTTTTTCCCAGACCAGTTTCAAAATGACAGCAGAGTGTACTCTGTCTAATAACTAGTGCCCCAGAGGACCATGTCAGGATGACGGGAAGCAGGAAACTCATTCTCTTCCCTGCCAGAGGTGCATCTGTCTCCCCCTGGTGTCTCCCGCAGGGCGTAGTGTTGCAGCAGGACAGCTACATTGAGGACCAGAAGCTGCTGCTGGCCGAGAGGGCACTCACCCGGAGCTTGTCCCGTCCCAGCTCGCTCATCGAGCAGGAGAAGCAGCGCAGCCTGGAGAAGCAGCGCCAGGACCTGGCCAACCTCCAGAAGCAGCAGGCGCAGCACCTGGAGGAGAAGCGCAGGCGGGAGCGCGAGTGGGAGGCCCGGGAGCGGGCGCTGCAGGAGCGCGAGGCCCGGCTGGCCCAGCGCGAGGAGGAGGTGCAGCGGGGGCAGCAGGACCTGGAGAGGGACCGGGAGGAGCTCCAGCAGAAGAAGGGCGCCTACCAGTATGACCTGGAGAGGCTGCGCGCGGCCCAGAAACAGCTTGAGAGGGAGCAGGAGCAGCTGAAACGGGACACAGAGTGGCTCAGCCAGAGGCAGGTGGACCGTGACGCCTGTCAGGTGAGAGAGCCCAGAGCAGAAGGGGTTTGCTGTACCCCTCGCTGACTCAATGCAGAGCCCTCCGTGTACTGAGAGCACCAGGAGGAAGTAAGCTGAGACGCAGAGTCCGTTTCTGTAGAGTAGCTTTAACACTAAAAGGGGCAGGTGAGGAAGTGTGTCTCTTTCTCGTTTTTTTCATCTCCAAGAGGTTGATGAGGACCGTGGAAATGCTGAGGACTTGGTCAGGAAGGTGACAGACACTAGGGGGTGACTGACGCTCACTCCCACAGCATGTCTGAGACAATTTCGGGGACAGTCTCTCTGCCCTGAGCCACATGAGAAACGAGAATCCCCCTCCCGTCCCGCCCCGCGAGGAACCTGCAGCTGATGGGGGGAAACGCAGCACTGATCAGGGGCCACACAGTGCCTATGAGCCCCAGGCGGCAGCAAACGGCTCTGATACGTGAATTACAGAAAGGACAGGTGGTGGGGTCAGGGACGTCAGTTACAGGGCGGAGCCCATCCCCAGGAGGGAGCCAGCTGCTCTTCCGTGAGGGGACACTTCTCCATGGGGGTGCGGGTGAAGACTTGCTGCTTCTGTGGCTGCCACTCCCGTGGGGAGGAGGCTTTTCCCTCTGTGGCACGCTGACTCCCATGTTTCTTTCCTGAGACTCTGGCGGTTTGGGGACACAGACATTCATGGCAGATGAAAAGCCTCAGCACCCAGGTTGCCTGTCTAGATACTCACATCATATTGTCATCTGATTGATTGGCTGACCTGGGACCATGAAAGAAAATTAAACTGACATCTGCAGCAGAGGCAGTTTTGCTGTCCACCGAGGTCATCTGTGGCTTGTGTGGTGGGAGCAGCCAGTGGCTCTGCACTGCCCCTCGTGGCACGGGGCAGGCTCCTCCCCGCCAGGCGAGTCGGCAGGGCACCCACGGGCCCGAGACCGCGCGCAGCAGGCTGGTTGTCTTCCTCTCGCGTTAGCTTTGGTTTACCTATCTTCTAAGCTGAACAGGCCTCTCGAACCTCTTAGCCCCAAAATAGATACTTACATCCCTGTGTAAATCAGGTTTCAAGTCAGCAGCTCCCCTGTTTCTTCAGAGGGTGGGAGGTCTTTTTTAAGTTGCCTCACCCAGGGTCCTGTTAATTTTTTACGATGCCAACATTAAGCACATGTAGTAAAAATAGTAATGGTGTGAAAGGTGATGTTTTTAATGCTTTCATAGATACTGCTTGGGGGAGGGCATGAAGGAGTTCGGAATCTTTTCATATCGAGGACCTTGGAGTCCAGGGAGGCGAGTCGTGCCAGCCAACCCACCAGCTGCCCCGGCCAGCGCCCGCCCAGCGGGCCCTGGGCCCCACAGCCTGTCAGTAACCCCTTCTCGTGTTCATGTGCAGGTCTCACATCAACACACCAAGCTGCTGAAGATCCCATCTTTCTTCCCCACCCCTGAGGAGCCCCCCTTGCCATCTGTACCTTCAATAGCCAAGCCAGGGTTGTTGGACTCAGAACTCTCAGTGTCCCCCAAAAGGAACAGCATTTGTCGGACACACAAAGATAAGGGGCCTTTTCACATACTGAGTTCCACCAGCCAGACCAGCAAAGTCTCAGAGGGTCCGAGCCAGACCCTGGCGCCTGCCTCCTCCTCTACACGCTTGTTTGGGTTGGCAAAACAGAAGGACAAGAAGGAGAAAAAGAAGAAGAACAAAGGAGACCGCTCCCAGCCCCGCGGTGAGTCACACGCCTGTCTCCCTGTGCCCGCCTTGTCCTGGATTCTGAGGAGGGGAGTAGATGTTCTTGGCACGGGACAGGTTAGCAAAAGGGGCTGTTCAGGTGCAGAAACACTAAACTGCCTTACTTGTCACCAAACCCACTTGTCCTGCCACAAAGAACTGAGGCACTAATTCAGCAAGTGTCTCAGAGCGCCCTCGGTGCGGCACATGCATGCGGAGTAGAGGGCGGGCTTCATTTTCAGGCATTTATTATCTGATTAAGGAATGCAAACCCTCCTAAAGGGAGCAATTTCAGTCTTCCCTACCTGCCTTTGTTCACCTAGTCCAGTCGTTGATAACAGTAACTTGCACTTAGTGAGCTTTCCCAAGGTCCCATGGATTCCTTGAAGGGACTGTTGGTAGGAGGCGGGGCTGACTTCAAGCCAGACCAGGAGCCTGAAGGTCAGAGAGTAGCTGGTGTGCCTGCCCTCATGGAGCTTGGGACTGACCACTAAACCAGGCATCTCCCTGCTCCCCGTCCCCTAAATGATTGCGTGCTCCGTCCACATGAGGTCAAAGAGAAGTTTGTTTGCTGGCTTGTTTATGAGTAGGGAGTGCAGTGCCTCCGCAGAGAGGGAGCAGTGGGGAGTGAAGGACTTCACCAGCCTCTTTTACAGAACCAGTCAGGAGCCCATGGGCGGGCAGCAGATGACCCACCAGCCCGTTGTCTGTGCGCCCCGGAAGGCTTGTGTTCAGGGAGGAAAAGAGGGAGTCCCGCTTCTTCTGACTTGCTTTTCCCTTCTCGGTTTCCCTGTTTCCAGACGGCCCTGCATCCGAGGTGCCCACAGAGGGTGAAGAGATCTTCTGCTGACCCTATTCCTCTGCTGGCAGCGTCACCAGCCCCGCCTTCCTGCGTCCCTGTGTGCCTGCTCTCTCACGTTGATATCCTGCTCTTCAGGCATCTACTGCTCTGCACTGCCCCAGGCCGGGGACCGAGGAATGAGTGGTCCTGAGCGTCAGGGTGGGTAAGGAGGGCCGGCCTTACCCACCTAGGCAACTGCCAGCAACTCCCAGGTTGGGACCGGCCTTGTGATGGTGTTACCCTGAGAATAGTGTCCCCAGGAGTCCAGGCGATCGTTTTGGGCATGTTAGGAATTCCTAAAAGAGTGTTTCCAGATGAGGTGTGAATGCTGGCTGCCTTTCATTTGGGGACACAACTGAAAATTGGACAACGGACAGTGTGGACTCTGTGTGCACGCACATGCGGTCGCCGTCTGCACGGACGCGTAGGGCACAGCAGAACCGTGCACCTTCTGTCGCAGACGCTCTGTGCAGGTGGCATACAGGCGGTCGGCCTCTCACATGCCAGGCCTCCGAGGCAGTGTCGTCCCTCCAGATCACCCCTGTGGACATGTGTTCCTCATTTCATTTCAGAAGGGATGACAGACATTTGTGAAGACCAGTGAGAATAGACCTGATGTGTTTCAAAAGGATGTGATCTGCACCACCTTGGTTTTGATATTTCAGTCAGTCTCTAGCAATTTCATTAGTCAGTTCTGGAAAAAATTCTGCACTGGCCTTCCAAGATGTTTGCCCACATATTCCGGGTCCAGATGAAGTAGAGAGGGCTCCTCACTGTTACCCCTGCAGTGTGACACTTTTTGGTTGTCACTGACCACTCAGAAGTGGCCACAGCCTCCTGGCAGTATTCTTGAGACCTCATGGTGGCTCCCCAAGAGCAGCTGTTCCTGCCTGGCCCTCCCTGTGAGAGACAGCGGCCCCCTGGACGCGCCACCAACAGGGGATACCTGCTTCCCCTCAGGGAGCTTGTCTCTGCCCCTGTACTAGGACAGCTGGCCAAGAAGTAGGATCAGTGAAGGTGGTAGCACCCACGTAGTGGTTTCCACCGGTACAGGCGAGAGAAGAGCCGGTCCTGGTGTCTTGCAAAGGTTCTCATTCTGCGTCAGGAAGCCTTGGCAAAATTTAATTTCCTAAAAATTTTTTTTAAATCTAAAGGTTTGTTGGTTATTGTACTCTGGCCTTTGGAGATTACTCACATGCTGCCTGTGTTTTATATTCTTTTTCCTTCACCTTCTGTGTTTGGATCTGTGTTGTCAGCTTGTCATCAGCTGGTAGGTGCAGGTTGGTTCGTGGGTCACATTTCCCTCTGAGGCCCCACACACCTGCCACGCTGGTGGCTCCCAGGAGGGGAGACTGGGAAATTCTGTGCTTTACACGTGGCCTTCGATCCCTGCTTTCCACCCCTTAGGAGTTGGGTCTTTGACCATACTTTTTAAAAAACAAAATCTGTAACTTGGTGCTTGTTGATGAATTGCAAGCTGGCCTTGCAGATGGAGATATTTATCTTTCAGTTTATTTGAAAGAGGTCTGGTTTAAAATTGTTAGATTTGTTTTATTTATTGTGTGTGTCTGTGTGTGTGTGTGAGAGAGAGAGAGAGAGAGAGAAAGAGAGAGAGATGAGGGTGAACATACTATCCCAACGGTTTCAACTATCTGACCACTGTGGAGAAGGAACAGCAGACCAGCTGCCTACTCTTCAGTGTCTGTCAAAGTGCCTTGAAGGCTAGAAAGAAATTAAGATTGGGGAAGGGGTCCCTTGCCTTCCCTCCTTGCCACCCCACCTCAGTCTTTGATCAAGGGATGTCTTCTTGCTTGAGAGTTAAGAAGCTTGCCACCTATGAGGGACATTTGCCTTTTTTTTGTCATAGGAGATTTCTTACCTTTCAGTAATAGACTTTAGGGGGAAAAAACAAACTGATTTTTCTCTTGGAACCATGATATACCCCTCCCCCACCACTCCACCCAAAGACCCTAAACAGCAAAAGCTACCTTGCTTCCTTCTACCAGTCCCCACAGCTCCAGGTTACAGCCATGCCTGTCCTGGCTTTCCTAGGAGCTGCGTGAAGCTCAGTTGTCTGTCCTTGTCACTTGCTGGAGGTAGCCCTGTGGCTTCCTGTTGCACAGAGAGAAGCGCTCTGCTAGAAAGGGTCCGGCAAACGAAGACCCACGTTCCTCCTCCTCTGGGTGGATGTGGGCCAGACCACCTGTGCTCTGGGCTGGGAACAGGAGGGGCTTCGTGCCGAAGAGATTGGCTGTCATGTGTGCTCTTCACAGAAGCGCCGTGGACACTGAGCTCTGGACTAGGCTGCGCAGCTTGATTTCAGTTTCAGGCCCCCAGACCCAGATTTCTCCATCCTCTGTCATCTCGCCCCTTTGAAATGGAACTTGGGGCTTTTGCTGCTGTGCTTGTGCGTCTGACCTTGGGAGCTGCTGTGGTCAGTGAGGTAGAAGCCCTGTCTGGGTTTCTTCCCTGTGACAAGAGGTGGTCTTCTAGGGTGACTCAGATTCCGTTCCCTGTGATGCCCCCACCTGAGAAAGCTGTGCTTCTCCATCAAGCTCAAGAAATCAATGCCAAAAAACCAAGTTTAAGTTTTGGGGGGATGGAGGAAGACACCTCCCAGAGTCCTCAGATTTTTAAAACCTAGTAATTTCCTGGAAGAAAGTTGTGCCTTCTCTCAGTTATATCATCTCAGTAATTGTCATCCTGGTTGGGTGACATGCACTTTACATGCCATCAGCAGCTGGCTTCATTGTTGTATCAACTATGTCGACTGGTTTCTTCTTTGAACGTGGAGGGTTAAAAACATGCAAATTGCCATAATTCAACCTTTGCTAACATTCCATCCTCTACCCTCACAATAGCTATCTGAGGGCAAGAAATCTGTATCAAGACTTTTTTTGAAAAGGTACGAATCTTACCTTTTTTCCTCTTAAGGCTCAGGGTAATGCCACTGAAGTTGTCCCTTCACTGTCTGCTCTCTTTGTTACCTCCCCTGGTGTGAGCAGCAGTGAGCGCAAATGTGTGAGGGCCCTGGGGTTTGTTGGCCCTTTCTTGGGGTGGAGGGGAGATAGTGTGTAGGGGTTAATAAAATAGGCTGTGCCTGAAATAAAAAGTAGAACCATAATCATAGAGGCCAGAACTTGATCCAGAAGTTTCTGTTCAGAGAAGTGGTTTCTGTTTTATCCTTTTGTTTCTGAGGTTCTTTCTCTGTAGCTGGTTGGTTCTTCCCAAGGATTTTGGTATTGACATTGGAGCGGCTGTGTACTTTGGTGTTGATGGGTGGCCAGGTGTGCCCAGGGGACAGCCAGGCTCTGGAAGGGGTTTAGAGAGAGGGTCCTAGTGAGTGGGCTCCAGTGGCCATTAGGAGGATGGTCTGGAGGGGACAAAAGGGCATCAGACACCCCGCCACCCCATCCCTTGCAGTGCGGAGCCCAGGAATGCGCCTGTGCAGTACAGGGGTTGGCAGAGGTTGAGAGAGGTGTGCTGACCGATCGGGCCTCGGCCTGGCGCTGTTGCTGTAACTGACCCACCAAGACAAGGATGGGGACAAAGAGTTTGTTTCGGTTTGGTTCCTCTTTTTTCCTTCAATGTAGCGTAACATTCCTAGGTAACCAGAGTTTAGAACCTACTGCCTGCTGGCCAGGTTTTAAAATGAAAAGTATTTTAACGCTGCCATAAAAGGAAAAAACAAAACAAAACAAAGGCTTCTTTCCATGTCCTCCTCAACTAATTTGTCAAAAGATGACAGGCCTTGAATTATTTCTCCATCTCGCTAAGGTTTAAAGATGGGCAAACCCAAGTGGTTCAGGCCTCTCCTGCCGCAGTCCGCGCTGACCCGCTGCAGATGCCCAGCCTGAGCTGGCCTGTGCTGGGGCCTCCCTGCTGTGAGCTGGAGGGTCCGGCCCCCCGGCCTCTGTGCACCCCAGGTCTTCCCCCTGCTTGAACTCCCGACTTCGCAGCTGCCTGGCAGAAGGGCAGCGAGAGCACTCTGACAGGGACCCGCCCTGTGGTCACGGTTCAGCCTGTGGTTTCCTGTGTGTCGTGCACCTCATCGCCCCGTCAGTGGCGCGGGGAGACGCCAGGATGTGCAGGAGGGTGATTGCGTACACCTTATACCTCTGCTTTCGTTCATTGTTTTAGATGCTATGTGAGCATTTCTTACTTTTCATATGAGATTTCTCTTGAAACCATGTGCTAAATCCTATTAAATAAGAAGTGGTTAAAACCAAGATGCTGTATATTAATTTGTAATTATGTATAAAGTAAAGCAGTTTTAAACTGTAAAGATTTTGTTCCAATGTTTTTGGGAATTTTACCACAACATACTGGTGTTGTATTTTATTTATCTTCCTGTCTAGTTATTGGCTTCAGACTCTTGTAAAGTCCCCCTCGGCCCTTCCAAAAAAATAAATGTTCTTTAGGTGTTCACTGCGGCTGATGTGTTCCTGTCCGTGTGCGCTTCCTGGAGGGAGTCTCAGGATACTATGGGTTCTGGGTAAAAGGGGTAGCCCCTTCCCCAAAAACAAGAGCCTCCCCGCCCCATGAACCCTCTTTCTGTATTTGGGGACAGGAAGCAGGAGGAGATCCTGAAGCACTAAGTGTCTCCATGGGGACTCCCACTCTTCCTTACAGCTGGGACCCAAAACCCCCAGGGGCGCCAAGTGTTAGAACTCTTTCCAGTTAAGTCAATGTAGTAAAATGGTCCTTTGACATAGATTCTACGTTGTGAAAAGATGAATGTTAAATTGCCTTTTTTGCCAACTTTCATCACCCCACCCAACTCCCCACAGGGCAACTGCCACAACCTAATTCAGGAAGGAAAGCCGTACTGGCCTGGAGCGCGGCGGGGGCGGACTGCATCTGATCGCAGAATGCTGGGGGCTCCACCGGGGAATCGCCGAGACACACCCGAGGAGCTGCGCCTGCTCCTTTAACGGGCCCCTCAGTCCCCTGGACCCTGGGGATTGTGCCATATGGTGTCATGCAGAGGGGCCTGGGATCTTGGCATTGCCACTTGCAAGCTTGTCACCCAACAACGGAAAAGAAGAAAGTCCTGTCCTAGTGCCAAGTGTCTTCCCTTTCTCAGGGAACTTGGAAGTGCCCTGGTTTCTTAAAGAGTCTTCTAGCCTTGGCAATAGCTGCCTGCCTACAAGCCAGTGACACACTGCTCCCTTCTCACCCACTCACCGTCCCTGGCTGTCACTGCAGCTGCAGCAGCCCCCTGCCCTCCTGAACGTCCGTCCCACGGAGACGCCTCAGCAGAGCCAGGAGAGCGGTTCCCAAGGCCTCCCACGGTCCTTGGAGCTGAGCCAGGGTCAAGCTCTGTCTGGGAGGGAAGAGTGAGGAGGTTCCATCCTTCCAGAACAGCGGACGCACAAGGCGCTCCGGGCCGCGAGAATACTGGACAGCCATTCCACACTGGCCCCGCCTGCCCCCGAGGGAAACTGCTGTGCCCAGAGCCCCTGCAGCCTGGCCACTGAGCACCTGACATAAAAGCGGCATTTTTCTGCTTCCTGATCCCCATGCCCAAGGGAGAGCATGGTCTACAAACTGCCTTAGGCTGAGTTTTGCCGCAAAGGCTCTGTCCTGTTCGGGTAGGAAGTGTGGTAACGCCAGAGGACAGAAATCTGAGCCAGGAGCAAAGGAGAGGCCAGCGAGGCCAGAAGAGAGCTTGCCGGGGGAGGAGGAAACGTGGCACACAGGTTTTGTTTTTGCCTCAGGAACAGTAACAAGCAGAACCGAGGTTGGCTGAGCTACAGGGCCTCTGAAATGAGATTGGGAGCTCCCGTCGCTGGGAGACCAGTCACCTCATCCCTGGGCAGTCTTGGGTCTCGTCAGTGAGAAGGATGCTTAGGCAATTGCTTTTTCCTTAAAATTGCCCCCATTTGTTCAGCGGCCTCTGGTAACCTAGAGGATGGTGAGGCACCCTGCCACCTTGTGGGTATCCTGGGAGGAGGTGCAGTGGGAAAGGGAGCCGGGCTTCAGAGGAGTCCTGTGCACCCCGGGTTCAGGGAATGTGGGTTGCAGGGCCCTCCTGGCCTCCCCACCCCCACCCAAGTCTCCAGTGGCATTTGGTGTCCACGTTACAGCCTGGCCCGTCCCCAGGCTCTCTGGCCTCCTTTCATATGCTAATTGTTGCTCTGCACAGCTAGAAATAGTCCCCACTGAGGCTGGGGCTGCTCCTCCCTCCTGGCGCCTTTGTGAAACTTTCCCTCTCTGGGAAACTGGATCTGGGTGGGGGGTGGGGGGGAGGCGCTGAGGGGAGAGGGCCCAGGAAGGCCTCCGTGGGAGAGCTGACTGCGGGGAGAGGACTGACACACTGGCTCCTGGGAACAGACCAGCTGAAAGCCAGGCCTGCTTTGTTCTCCCTCCCTAGTTGCCCTTCCCTTAGAGGGTCCCTCAACTTCCCACCCCACCCCCAGCTTCAGAGTTGGAGCTGGACAGTTGCCTGGACAACCTCCCTTCTACCCAGCCTTGCTGCGTCTGTGTCCAAAGGAGGGGACGCTGGCCACCTGAGACATGCTCCCTGGCCCTACGGGAGCCCAGCTGTGGTGAAGAGCTTGGGAGTGTGCCAAGGGGGTCCCACTCCGAGAGGGGGCTGCGGACAAAGGCTGGAGACCACTGGATGCAGTCAGCCTCTCAAAAACTCAGTCAGGAAGCAAAAGCAAGTTTCTTAAGTCAGACTGCACTTTCCAAGTAGGAACTGAGGTTCCCTGATCGCAGTAACCATGTCCACGGGGTGGCTCATGACATGGGAACCTAGGCCGAGGGAGGAGACGGAAGCACGCGTGCCGCAGAGGTCACGGGTTCAGTGCTGTCTCACGGTTGGCTCTGAGTCTCCCAGCAGCCAGGGCTAAAGGGGAGAAATGTATTTCTAATGGGGTTCCCTTTGACTCCCCCCAAAAATGTGAAATGCTTTTGTTTCCAGTTAACTTTCCTAATACATGAATTACTCAGTTGGACACTTACGTGATGATGGAACAAAGGAAGTGGATGTTGTTGAAGGAGGTCTAGTAACTTCTTTGTGTACCTGAGGAGAAAAGTTACTTGTGTACAAGCAGAGCTGGCATCCCTGCCACCCTGGGCTGTGTACCCGGGGCTCAGCAGGTGGGACAACACACGTCATCTGCAGAGGCCTGACCTGGGCCCCAGAGCCCAGCTCAGGCTCCGTCAGGGACGGTGCTGGCAGGCACAGGGTACCCGAACCTGCCTTCCCTGTGCGCACGTGCTTGGGTTCACGGAAGGGGGCAGGCAAACGAGCATTATGGAGGCCGTGCTGCGACAACTGGTGCCGACTGCTGGAGTCATTACAGCCCCCTTAACATCTTGTTATTTTTACACAAATGAGTATCAACTGGGAGGTCCCGGCACACAAACAGGCACATGGAGATGAACGGAATTAATTTTCAACTGAGAGCTCACGATATGGGCTATCCAGGAAAGAATGACTCTCAGGGGAATGGGGAACAGTCAGGATTCTACAGGAAAATCAGTCGAAAGGCCTCTGCTGAAATCATCGGAATAAAGGGAACGGGTCTCCCCAAATTTGCAGGATGGGCAGGCCCTGAGCCCTGGCTGGCGGGGTCAGGATTGAACTCAGCCCATGACTATGTCCCCCAAGACGGACCCCAGAGCCCACAGAAAGCAAGGATGTTCTCAATTCATTTATTAAGTTAGAAAGGGGAAAAGGTATCAACATTTGAGGAAAGCACCGTGAGGTCCTTTGTGCTGTGAGAAGTGTGCTTCGCTCAGCTCAGCAGCCCGACAGGGTCAGCGCCCCCGCAGACCAGTGGGAGCCGCTTCCCCACCGCAGGCCCCACCGGCCGGGGCTTCCGGGAGTTCTCCCGCAGAGCCGCCTCCTGGGACCAGAGCCCCACGGCCGCACCACAGCACAGGCGGGCCCTGACCCGAGAGGGTCTGTGCGATCTGAAGACAAGAGATGCACGTCCTGCTTCCAGAACGTTCCCAAGTGGCAGCTGGTGTTCGTCAGTGGGTGAACCTGACTTAAAGGTCTGAGTCCACAAGAGATGCCCGAAGGACCAGTGCCCGCAGGAGGTCCCGGGAGGGGCGGGGCTGAATTTCGGAAAGCAGCTGGCTTGTGACATGGCCTCAGTTCCATACACAGTGCGGCTCACTTTGAAGCCTGGCCTCGAACCAGGCAGGCAGCACTGTACGGGGGCAGGTGGGAGCCACAGGTCTTGGCCAGTGCCCCCAGGGTCCCCTACCTGCAGTGAGTGGCACACCAAGGTACGCAAGGGACAAGCTGGAAACTGACACTGGGTGTCAGGCGGCTGCTGAGAGGAGCTGATCTCTTTAGACCCAGTGACTTGGAAGGTAAAAAAAATGAAAGGTCTGGCAGTTCTCTTGGGACCATGCTCACTTTGTGAGCTTGGGGCAAATGGGCCAAATCCAGCTACCGGCCGGAAGGCCAGGATGCCAAAGGCCAGGGGGTGCTGGCTGGGGTCAGGGTGGTGACCTTGTTGCTGGCCGCCACCCTGAGATGCGTCCAGCAGCAGTGGGATCTACAGTGGGCACCCTGGAGTCCCAGCTCCTACCTGCTGCTCGTCTAGCTGCGGGGGGGGGGGGGGGGGGGGCCCACAACCCGAAGACCAGTGTGGTCCCATCAGGACATGGTGTCATTGCTGCTGCTTGCAGAGGGGAGGCGATGGGGCGGCCCCCAAGCATGTGCCTCGCAGGGCCCCCTGGGTCCTGCTGTGTGACCGGCAGGAACGTCTGGGTCTACACATGGGGCACGGCTGGCCTGAGCGGAGGCAGCAAAGCCACAGAGGGCAAGGCCACCTCTGGGAAGCGGCGCACAGTTGACTCCCTCTGCAACCTGGTGGTCTGGGTGTGACCTGCTAGTGAGGTGGTGCCTGCCGCTTAAAAATGTGGTCTCGGTTTTCTCCTTGTCACTTCTGCTCTCAGTCCTGCCGGGCCGTTTCCCCGGGGCCTGGGACGTCCTCTGCGGGTGACGTTACAATGCTGACAGGGGAGCCCCGAGCCAAACAAGGCTATGCTGTTCGTGCTGCCCGCCCTCCCGCCCGCCCACCCAGGGCTTTTCCCGGCTGGCCCCACAGGCCCCCTCCAGGACTTGCTGAAACCGGTGACCTCAAAGCTCTGCACACGTGTCCTCCTCCCGGAGTCCGAGGGAGTCCTGGCGTCGGCACACACCCCATGGAAGATCCTCCCCGCCCCCCAAGCCACTGCAAAGTGGGAAAAGCCTCAGGCAGGCCCACCACACTGCAGACGACGTCTCTTGTCTAAGCTCAGGATGTCCTGCAAGACCAATGCTGCCAGCCACTTGGAGCACTGGCCCGGGGCCGGCTGAGCTTCCGGCTGTGGCGCACAGGGACAGGGCCCCTCCGTGAGTGAGGGCTGCAGCCGTGGGGGGGAGAAACATGCAGAGCCTGTGGGGCAACAGAGAGAGAGAGAATGGAATCACGCCCACAGTGACAGATGCCCGAGGAGGGTCTCACGGTGACTCTGAAAGGGAAAAGCACAGCGAGCCCTCCGCGCGGGCAGGCTGTTCTCCAGTGAACCTGCATCTCCCTTCACCCCGCAGGGGACAGGCAACGCAGTCCGGGCGCCGGCCCCTGTAGCCCGGCCCCCTGGACTCACGTGGAGCTGCAGCCGGGTGTGGCCATCTCTGTGGCAGAGAATTCAGCCTTGTCCAAACAGAGGCCTGGCCTTTGCCCTGGCTTCTGGGAGGGGCTCTCTGTCACACCTGACAGGAGTGGGTTGGCTCGGGGCGGGAGTGGGGACGCCATGTGAGCTAGGGTGGGGGCTCTGGGTCGCGCTGTCCCAGCTGACCTGGAGACTGAGAGTAACCACGTGGAACATCAGGTGATCTGGGCTGAGTGCTGGGTCCCTGATGAAAATTCTGGATGTGAAGGCTCCAGTGAGCGGTCCTAGGGGGCACGTTCTTAGCATGTCGTCACTCCCTGATGCCAGGAGGGGAGCACTGTCCTGGCCCCACAGGGACGGGACGTGGTGCTTATGCGCACGCCTTTCGTTTTGACCACCCTTGTCCCCCCCGTGCATCTCTGGCCGTGGCTGATCTTAATCTGTACCCTTCCCCTGCAGTAAACTGTAACTGAACATACCAGCCTCAGTGCATCCTGGGAGGCCCTGCAGTGATACGTGACCCTGTGGTGGTTCTGGGGAGCCCCTGACCTGCAGCTGGTGTCAGAAGTGAGGACACTGTCGTGTGGAGACTGTGCCTCAGACTTCGCAGGTTGGCCTATGCTCCTCATGGACAAAAGACCTCTGGTGATTCTGATACGTGGCCATGCCTGGCTGTTCCCCATTTGGCAGAAGGGTTATCTGCTTTGCTGAAGGTCAGCTGCCAGGAAGGGGCAGAGCACAAGGCTGTGGCTCTGAGAGAGGGTCCCAGAGCCCCCCCGCCCCTGCTGCCCGACCCAGCCTCCCTGCAGGACAGCGGCCTTTACCCTGAGCGGGAGCAGGCCCGGGCGCGGCTCACCTGGCTCTGCGGGGGCTCCTCATGCAGGCAGGTGCTTCCAGGTGCTGACAAAGGCCGTGGGGATGAGTGAGTAGGGCACGGTGGTGACGCAGCTCCATGTGTCCGCAGTGGGGTCGTAGCAGTCCAGGGTCTTACACCTCTGGGTCCCAAAGTAGCCCCCCACCACATAGAGCTTGTTGCCCGAGGCCAGGGCGTGGCAGGACATGCGCTTGGCGGTCATGTCCCCAATCCGCGTCCACTGGTTGGTCTCGCAGTCGAAGCGGTAGGCAGAGGCGGCAGTGAATTCCGTGTCACCTCCCATGATGAAGATCTGGCTGCCCAGCACGGCGGCGCCTGTGTACCGCCACGGCTGGGGGCACTCGGCCTTGATCGTCCACCGGTTCTCCGAGGGGTCGTAGCACTGGACTTTGGACACCATGTCCCGGTGGATGCTGGTCCCTCCGAAAACGAAGAGCTTCAGCTTGGCGCTCACCACTGCCGCGTTGCTGACGCCATCCCTCAAGGGGGCCACCATCGTCCACTTGTTAGCCCCGGGGTCGTACTTCTCCACCTGCTTCAGGGAGACAGAAGGGGAGGCCGGGAAGACGCCTGCCAAGGACGTGTGTCCCCCCACCACATAGAGACAGTTCTCCAGCTCGGCTGAGCCGTGGCCGAAGCGGGCAATCAGCATGGGGGCCGCCTTGGACCACTCCTCGTGGACGGTGTCGTACACCCACACATCCTTGGAGACCCCGTTCTCGGAGCCCCTGCCCCCCGTCACGTAGACCTTGCAGCCGATCGCAGAGGCGCTGAATTCCTTCCTGGGGCTGGGCAGGTCGGCCTTCGGGATGATCTCCTTGGCCTTGTGGTCCACTTGGTAGATCTTGTCGCACATGAAGGTCTGGCCACCCAGGATGAGGAGCGTGTGGCCTGCCTTGCGCGGCCGGGCGCAGGGGCTGGTGACCACCCCGTCGTTCTGCAGGATCTTGGTCTTGCAGTGGAGCGCCTCGTCTATGATGAGCCTGGTGTGCTCATCCGCCGTAAGCAGGGCCTCGCTGGACACAGCCTCCTTCAGGCAGTCGGACGGCAGCAGGGCCAGCCGCACGCTCCGGAGCAGCTCGGGCAAGTGGGCCTTTCGTCCCTCGAGGTCGTGCTTCACCCACTGGAGGATGGCCTCGAAGACCACCCGCTCGTCCTCCGTCTCCAGCTCGTCGCTGGAGATGAGGTCCAGCAGCATGTCCTTGGACAGGCTGTTGAAGTCCTCGCTCTGCCGCACCGTCTCAAAGTGCACCAGACACATGCGCCAGGAGAACTCGTACAGCCGGCGGCACTGGTGGGCGTCCGACAGCAGCATCATGCCCAAGCAGTTGGAGGGGAAGAGGTTCTTCTCCAGGAACTCGGCGGCCGCGTCCCGTACATCATGGAACTGCAGCATGTCACCCGCCTCCAGCAGTGACTCGGCGTTCTCCTCGTTGATGGCGATGCGTGACGAGTAGGCGAAGTCCAGCAGCAGCTCCAGCACCTCAGGATGCAGGTTGTCCTGGAAGTTGACTGTGTCGTCCCGGCTCTCACGTAGGCCATGGCTGAACATGGCCTCGAAGTAGCGGCTGGAGGCGGCCAGCACAGCACGGTGGCAGGGAAAGGCACGGTCACCAGCCCAGAGCGTGACATCGGTGAACATGCGGTGCTTGCGCAGCGTGTTGAGGTGAGCCAGCACACAGTCGGGGTGCGATGCCTTGTGGAAGAGCGTGATATTCATGGAGCCCGTGCTGCTCCGCGACTTGCGGGTCTCGTGGACACTGACTGACATGCTGAGCCAACCTACGGGAAACAAGGCCACAGGTAAGAGGAGCTACTCCTGATGCAGTGACTTCACAGGCCCTGGCTCCCCAGCTTCTGGCCCTCTCCCACACCTCTCTGCTCAGCACTGTCCCTTATGGCAACAGGTCATATCACTGAGGACCACCCAGGCAGCACAGGTTGGCCTTCACCCCTGCCCTTTGAAACCAGGCTTTGTTCTCCTGAGTTTGCATCAGCTCTGGAACCAAACACCTTTGGCCTGCATATGAGCCACCCCAGGGCTCATATTTAGGCAGGGCTGCCTCCCGGGGTTATGAGAATGTGCCAATGGTGTCCCTGGCCTGGTTAAGCCAACGCCGGGGTGATGCTAAGTAGCATGTGTGCTTGATGGCATTCCCCCATTCCATAGCAGGGAAAGCAAGGCCCAGAGAGGCAAAGCGGCTGCCCAAGGGGCTAGAGCAGTGGGCCATCCAGCTTCAGGCCCCTTCTCCACCCTCCATTGGCCCAAGGAGACTGACGGATTCCTGCAGGGGGACTTGAATATTTTCAATGACAGGCACCTCTCCCCTCCTCTGCACCTCAGCCTGCCCTTCTGTAAAGTGAAGACCTTGTCCTGCTCAGGCTTCTGAGTGTTGCTCATTCATTGGCAGTTACGGGGCATAACCTTTGAGCCTTGCCCTGGGACCAGCGTCACGGAGACTGGAGGCTACATTGGTCTGGCCCGCAGGATGCACCCCACTCAGAGCTGAGTTGCGCCATCTGAATTCCGGACCCTGCAACATGTTTCCTCAAATCTCGCTGTGGTTGCTAAATCCTCATTCCGGTTTCTGTTACTCAATCATCAGACACTTTCCAAAACGTGGCCGTTCATCGGGTGACTCATCCATCCTGTCCCCACCATGCTGAGGGACCAGATTGGAGGGCTCTTGTCAGGGTTCTGATGCTGAGCTCTGCCTCAGTTCCCCTCTCAAGCACCTGCGTTACTGAGGGCCCTGCCTGCTCTGGGTCCCTGAGCACCTGCCTGCACCTGCCCCACACCTGACCCTGAGCCCAGCCAGGGAGCCAGGCCATTTCTCAGCTTGAGCTGAATGAGGCCCTGAACGCTTGGGCTTGGGCCCCATCTGTGGTGCCAGACTCCTCTGGGATTCCATTTTACAGGCAGCCCTGGGACGGAATGCCAGCTCTTTGCCTTGCTAACCACAGGTGTGTAACCGTGGTGTCATCAATACCTACTCCTGGGGGAGCGGACTCCACAGACACTCACAGGGCCTGGCCCCTGGCTGACCAGAGTGGACAGCCCCCGCCTTTCCTGCACGGTCACATGTGGACATGCACACACTGTGACCCCTTCAGAAGAGCCTCCCTGTGCAGCACGCTCCCTCCCTCCCTCCTCCCTGGTCCCCCTCGGCAGGTCCCAGGTCCACACCTGAGGCAGCTGGCGCTGGGGCTGTGGGGCATGAGCTGGACCCCACCTCCTCTGTGGGGTGTTGTTGACAGGGCTGCCCTGTGAGGGATCTAGGCAGGGACTCCTTGTGAATGGGGTGAGGAACGGGACAAATCAGGACCAAGACTGAGAAAGCGCCAGAAAGCAGGGCCTGCCCGTATAGAACAGCCATGCTGGCCCTGCGCTTGAGGGCATGTGGCGACCTTTTCAAGCCCAACGGGGATCATCCCGGGGCCCTGGAACTGACTGGCGTCTTGCTCAGCACCTAGATGCCTACAGGCTGACGCAAACGTCCCACACAGGTGAAGAGCCGGTGACACACCCAAGCAGGTTCCCACCCAAGACAAACGCTGGCCTAGGCACCTCTGAGCGGAGGGCATGTAACTTAACTTATTGTCCAGCTGCATCCAAATTAGAAAAGACGATGGCTGGGATGGTGGCTGGTGCTGCCAAGATGGCTGCGACAGTGACGTGTGTTGCAGCTCCTGTCACAGGAGCCAGCACAATGCCCTCCTCTTTGCAGCACTGACACCTGACTGTCCTCAGGAGCCTCCACTCTAGTCCATTCAGATACAGGATCCCACGTTGGGCACTTGGCCCTGGAGGGCCAGATCGGCATATCGCTGGGCCCCAAAAGTTCGTTGAATGTGACCCTGGCCTGCCAATCAGCCTGTGCCATACTCCCAGCCACCGTGACGGGCCTGACACCCAAGATGGGGCAAGAAGACTCTTGTCCACGATGTCTGGTGAACTGCAGGGAATGAAGCAGGCTCTGGTCCCAGGGCTGCAAACTGGACTAGACAGAGGCCGGGAGCAGCAGCAGATGGTGGGTGCGCTGCCCAAGACGGAAGCCGCAGGGCGAGGCAGAGCTGGTCCCTGCTGTCCGCGCCCCTCTGCCCCTAGATGTGCTTTTTGCCTGTTTGAGAGGGGTTTGTCACGTACCACCAAGGTTCGCAAGCAGTTCAAAGGACTCACCAGATTCAGTGCCAGAAACTGCTCACCTTGATAAGGGTCTTAGCCGGTGGGTCCCCCCACCCCCTCCACCTCCAGGGAGGCCACCCAGACACAGAGGGAAAGGGTTTCATGAGCTGAGTGCCAGTGTTCAGTACCAGTTACACACCCAGCCCCGGATACCAGGAATGTAGGACAGAGGTTCCAGCGGCAGGAGGGCGAGCATTCAAGACTGTGCAAAATCAGGTCTGTTCGGCCTCTAGGAAGCTTCCATCTCCACAGCCCCTGCCTCCGGGGGGCCAGAGTAAATCAGACTCAGTTCTAACACTGTACGTATCACAGAACTGTTTCAGTTACCTAAGCATCGTCCTCGCTTTGATGGATTTGAGGGACAGCGGAGAACTGCACGACACTGCCATGCTCCAGAGTGGCAGCTCGTCATCCCACTAAGGGGAGCGATGGGCCTCGGGCAACACCTCCATTCCCCACTGTCACCCTCCCCTGCAGGGAAGCCATTCGGTGCACCAAATAACCATGTCCCCAGCTCACTTCTCACCGTCCTTGGAAGTGAACTAAATGCACAAGGAAACAAAATAGCTTGTGGGTAAGACCTTAGGAAAAACTCTCCATGCTCTTCGAAGATTCCAGCAGCAGAAAGTCAAAAGCCTCTGTTCTGAGAGAAAAATGCACCAGAGGTGATCACTGCAGCCGTGAGGAAACGTCCAGAGTTCCTCGGGGCCAGGGGTCAGGAACAGGGCCCCTGAAGACAGCTCAGCCATTGCTGCGTGACCTTGGCAAAGTTAATTCGCCTCTCTGGGTCTTCTGTTTCTGTTTTCTTTTTTCCCAGCCAAAGCGTGATGTTGAAAACAATCACTGCTTTATAGGACTATTGTGAGGATTAAATGAGGCAGTAAGTGATAAGCATTCAGAACGTCCAGGGCCTATCCTGCTTCCTTCGTCTGCTGCTTTATTCTTGTCGCTGTTACTACCGCTTACACGACAGACATTCCTGACGCTACTCCAGCCCCAGCCTCCACTCTGAGTAAGGCAGATTTTCAGTCTTACTCGTTCTTAAGTTGGTTGATTTGTTAACGAGTATGTAGTGTTTTTATAATCAGGAAAAACACCAATGGTTTTTGTCAAGCCAGTTGGCTGGGTTAGTCCTAGAGCTGTAATGGTGGAGGACTTAGGCACGACTCACTCGTCACACACACGCAGGGCTGCGGGAGGCAACAGCCTTCCCAGGCCGGGGCTCGGAGCGGACACACCACGATGCTGCGGCTCAAATGCCGGACCCACCCCCGTGTCTGGGGGCACCTCACGGAGCCACAGGGTGCAGGCATATCCATCCTTCCAACTTTCAAGTGGAAAACAAACTAAGCACCCTATTAAGCAGACAAATCTAATTGTTAATTGAAAGGAAAATTAGTATGACTGCTGTAACTGAATCAGGGCCACAGATCATTCCAGATACAAGTGAATTAACAGACAAAGGGTTCTTTCTCTAGATGTTTCTGCCTTTCAATGGTCCTTTCTTTACTAAAAAAGAAAAAAAAAGATGTATACTTTTCAAAAATTATATGTACCCTGTTTTTAATTTAAAATGCAATGGGTTAGAATTTATATTTTTGCTGTGTATTTATTTTGATTTTGTTTTCCAGCTTCTTGTTGTGAAAGATTTCACACCGGCAGTACTGTTACAAGAATTATATGATGCACACTTTCTGCTTTCATGTGGTTAGCCTGCTGGTTGCCACTTCGCCCCACCCCCACCCTAGGCCTCACCCCAGCCTCGCCTCACCTCAGCCCCATTCCTCCTGTAGGGGACGGGCCGGCTATGGAGGCTGGCCCAGAGCAGAGCCAGGCTCAGCGCAGGGTGAGGATGTTTTTTCATACACTGCTTGGTGATCAATGGCGTTCTTCTTCAGGTAGTACCCATGTGTCCCTGCATCAGACAGTTCTCCACGACGAGTAGGTGGGGTGCATGGCCAGCCTAGCCCTCAGCTCAAGCCCCGGGGCCAGAACCCCAACACCTCCACACCCCAACAGAGTACGTGGTGGGACAACCTGGTTCCCACCTGCTGTGCTCAGGTCATGATCAACGAACAGGGCCACCATACAGTCCCTGCCAGGCAGGGGGTCCTGAGGTTACCCTACATGTGGCCTCCCATTTGCCTGCAGCCAGAGCCTGGAAGGGGAGGGAGGGTCCCAGGAGACCAGGAGGGGCGGGCAAATGCTTCAGTGCCTTGTCCACGTGTTCCAGCCTTTTTACTTAATGCACCCAAATGTTAAGCACACTTCAGGAAAGGCCGCCTAAGACTTCAGCGTCCATGATGGATAGGAAGCCTCAGGCTGACTGCAGCCTCCGGTGGCCGGTGGCTGGTGGCCGGTGGCCGGTGGCCGGTGGCCGGGCAGCCAGAGCTACACTGCAAGTCGATATCTGGCCGCGTCGCCCCTGGAGGATGGGTTCGGAATGTGTGCTGCACCAGCCTTGCCCGGAATGGCCGGCTCTGCTTTCCCAGGAAAGGTACAAACATGAGGTAAGGGGTCAAGGCCTGTGAAACCCTACTGAATGGTGAAGCAACACTTGTGGCTTCTGGTAGGGAAGGAAGCCAAATCAAACTCA